ACTTATTTTCAGAAATTACTAATTTCAATAAAAAATTTAATTTTTTCTATTTAGAAACAATTTTTTTTATGGTGGCACAAAATTGTAATCAAAATTTAATTCGAAGAGGAAATAAATAAATTTTGTTCATTTTTAGAATGAAATTTCGTTCAGAATTATTTTGAGTGACAAAACAATTGTATAAATAGTATAAATGAAAAATTCTCACTGATTGAATTACGAACTATTGTCAATTTTCCTCATTATATATTTTAATTGTACTGAGATCTTTCTGAGATCCTTGGCCCAAATGCTATAGTATAATCGAACAAATAGTCAGCGACTCTAGGAAATCAATGAATGTGACATTTGCATGAGAAAGAAAACTCTAGGCCAGTGAAACTAGAAAAAAGAAAATTCGTTTTTATATGAAAATCCTATCTATTAGAATGGAAAAGACTGCGACGATATTTCAGCGCATTTGGTGTATTATACTTTCATTTCTAAACTACATATTAAAAAAAACGAATAGTCGGTGAAATCGTACATTGTGATACATTTTTTTAAAATATTTATTCTTTCTATTGTTCAAAAGCATGAAAAAGAAAAGTAGACTACGATTTAGAAAGAGAGAAAAAATCTTCTCCGGAATAAAAGAATTTTTAAATAAATTTTCAACAATCGCCGAAAAAAATTTGCTAAAAAAGAAAAGCAAAGACGATTCTGAAAAATACTGTCAAAAGTAGAACTCTCTGTTTATATTACTTCTTTTCTCTTTTTCTTATGATCTCAGCGCAATATTCTCTTCTAAACTATATAGATTCTCTCTTTTAAAAAAAAAATAAATAAAAAAATAACCCAGTGTTTACTTTCGCTCGTATAATCCTTCCAAAGCGAATAAAATTAGTTCAAGAATAATTATTATTGTCAGTGTAGGTAACGAGATAGTGGAAAGTAAATTTTACGACTATAGGAAGTCGAAATTAGTGTTTAGTCTACTTACTAAGAAACTTATTTAATTCTAAAAAGTTTTTCTTTTTGCGTCGTTTCAAGAGCAACTAATAGACACAGGGCAACAAAAACAAAAATATTGCGATAAAAAAATTTATTGTCCTTTTTGGGAAAAAATGTTATTCGATGGTAAAAAATTTGAGACCGAAAAAAAAGAAACACAATATTTCGTGAACTCTTTTGTTTCTCTTTTGTGTTTGCAGTTGTTGAATTTTACACTTTCCAATATATTAATGATCATCGCTTACTGTATTGACGTTTCATATAAAATATTGACAATTTTCAATGACATTTAAAAACATAAATTCAGTGTTAATCAAATAATTTGAAATAAACGAGGAAAATTGACAAATATTGTTTTAAAAATAAACGTGAGAATAAAATCGATTTAACGAATAACTATAAAAATTGATCACGTATTTTCAGGAATTTAACCAAGTTATTTGAAATTGGTTCTTTGCTCCCGATATTCTGTTTTATTATTAAAAGAATAACATTTTTATAATTTAAGGAACTAAATTAAAAACATAAATTATTAAAGTGTAAAAAAGATATAAAATGCTTAAAACAGATAAATAAATGGAAGAATTATAATTTTACTGGAATAAACAAACCAATTTTCCCAAAATGATAATTTATCACATTTTTTGTCCCAAAAAGATTCTAACGTTCAATAAATTTTTTAAATAATTTCATACTTAATCAAAATTTAAAAAATTCACTTATTAAGTACAAAATTAATTATTACTGTTCATATTTTCAAAAAATTTAATACAATTTCACGGCAGAATTCAATTATTTTCTAAAATTTTAATAAATCCTTCTGAACAATTCAATTATTTTTTTAAATAGTAAAATCTAATTACAAAAATTCGACTATTATAAAAACAATTTTAATTAAATTCCTCGGAAGAATTCAATTTAAAAAAAAAAATTAAACACATTTCGAAAAAATTCTATTTTTTTCTAAAATTTTAATAAATCCTTCGAAAAAATTTAATTATTTTTATAAATAGTAAAATTCTTTGCAGGAATTCAATTCTTTTCAAAACAATTTTAATAGAATTCCTCGAAAGAATTAAAATTTTCAAATATTAACATAAAATTCATTTATTTTCTAAAATTTTAATAAATTCTTCGAAACAATTCAATTATTTTTATAAATAGTAAAATTCTTCGCAAGAATTCAATTATTTTCAATACAATTTTAATAAAATTCAATTGCTTTCAAAATGTTCAATTAAAATTATTAAAGAAACATTCAAAAATTTATTTTTATTTTCAAGAAATAGAATTTTAATTTAACAAAGAAATAAATGAGTTAAATTAAATTTCGATAGAGAAATTAATTTTATCATTGAGATAAAATCAAATAAATAAAAGATTCGATAAAAAAAATTGTTTTCCTCTAGTTGCCTAATATTATGTGCCAGCATAACCTACTGTTTCTAATTTTCAATTACAATAATAATTCAAGTATAACAATTTTTTTTCTCTTTTTCATAAATTATCACAATCAACACTCGCAATGTTTATAAAAATGGAAAGTTTATAATAATAATAATAATTTTGCGAAATAAAAAAGCATGGAATAAACTGATTGTTTCTTTTATTGCTTCACCAAGGTTCGTTAATAAAAAAGCTCCAGAAAACGTATAAGTGGTTACATAATTAGGTGACGTACACTAAAGACTTTAGAATAATGCGAGTTTTCTGCACATCTATCGTATCTGCTTACATTTCTCTTTAAGAGCATTATGCAATGGACTTTATAAAATTAACTGCAAAGTGTAGTTCATCCTGGTTGAATGAACCAAACACTTTAAATCCTAATCTGATTAGGATTAAAGTAACTATTTCTAATTTCCATCATGCACACTTTAATTTTTTTTTATCGAATTTTTTTATTTTGGGGGAAAATATTGATAAGCAAGAATCATTTCAGTTCCTTACTCGACAACAATGAATATGATGATTATTATTATGAGAGAAAAAAAATCCGATAAAATTTAAACCAATTAAACACCTTGAGAATATTACTGATGTTAGAGAAAAAAACAGGGAAAACCGGAAATAAACAACAAAGGTAACATTATTTTCAAATTTAATATTCTTAACAACAACGTGTTTCTTAACATCCTGTAGAAAGTATGAGTAACTTGCAGTTTAAATAGATACGTCACTCGCGTACAGAAAAAATATGTAATAATCATCAATTTACGATGCGAATGAAATGATATATTTTTAATCAAAGTAAAGAGGAAATTAGATAAAAATCGTATTTTTCAATATGAAATAAAAGAATAATGCATGTACGCATTGGTATTATTCACTCAATGTTTATTTATTTGTGACTCATTTTGTCATAAAGTGCGTTTTTCAACGTTTAGTAATTGTCTAATTACTTTGGACAATAAAAAATTTATATAATAATTACTGATGTATTAAACAGTTATAGAAAAATATATTTTTATCGCGTGTAATATTTTTTTTAAAAAAGATCTCGATCAAAAAATGTTTTTAAACCCAATAGGTATAAAATTTTATCAAGGAAAGATTTGAACAGCTGTAACTTATTATTACAAATGCTGATTAAGTAAGAACGATTATGGCGGAGGAAATTAAATCAATTTAATCTTTTGAAATGTATTGCCTTAATAATAAAAACACGTGCATTTTCTATGTTCTTTAAGATCACTCAAGGTTTTCAAAACTTTCAAGGTTACACAATCTCTATTTCACCTGTAAACACTATTTTTCTAAAAAGAGAATTTTTTTTGTTTTGAATCTCAAATTTTTCCTTATTTTTACGAAAAGAAAGAAATTTGTATAAAAATATTCAACTTGAATGAAACATCGCTTTGTCTATTGTTTCATGTACAAAAATCACCAGTTACAAGTTATAGAATGTTGATAAAAGTTTATTTTTCAATAAGGACTTTATTCCCCTTTAGTAAAACGTAAAAAATGTTACTTGGATAATAAATATATTTAGAGAAAAATTAGACTCGAGGTAGAATTTGACAGTGACAGATCCGCGTTTTGGAGCAAGTGTCAGTGTCAACAGACACAAGTGGTCCAATCCTGCAGCACTTGTCAAGTCGAAGGTCGATTTTTTAATGATTTATTATTGAAAATTGTCAGGAAAACAAATGAGAAATGTCGAGTAAAGAATTGAAAGATCATTATCAAAAGGGAGTCAGTTGGAAAAAAAAATTATGTCAGTATTATGATTTTAGGCTAGATTTACCTCTTCTATTGAACGGACGAACCCGAACAGCAACTTTAATCTTATCCGTGGCCATGTTTCACACCGGTAACGTACACTGTGTATCCCGATCGTAAATTCACAAGGTACTCCGAATGCACAATTTCGTTACTCACACGGTTTTTGTAAACGCTACATTATTCTCACCCCATAACGCGAACTTCTTATCATTTAAACGACACTGTGTCCCAACGAGCTCGTGACATAATTCGCCATATTGCTTAGACTGTCAGGGAGTCAGACTGCTCGTGAAACGTGAATCATGTGCTTTTTTTTTCCTCGATGACGTTCACTTTCCCTCGTTTCTATTTTCTAAACTGCTCCTTGTTCCATCCGTTTCGAGTAACTAGTGAGAGCAGGGCTGCCAATTCCCTAGACTGGGGGGAAATTGCAATTGCGCAGTGAAACCCCTGTTGTTTCCACATCCCCCCACCACTTTATTAAATATTACTGGAAATGTAAATTTCCGCCAATCAGAATACACCTAGTCAGGGATGGGTTACTGCGAAGTATAAACAAATTCTCGAACGTAAAGCAGCATTTACACCTGTGGTAAAAATTGTCCAGAACGAAAGATCCACATTGGAGTAAGAGAGACAGATACCTTGCACTACTACGAGAGCTGTGAACGTACCTTAACTGCATCTCGCACTTCGGACGTTCTACTGCGTAAAATACGTTAAAAAACGTCTAACTTTGAACTGTGCAACCCTGGACTGGACGCACTGTAAGCAGCGACCCAGACCTGGTTTGATGCGGAACAACCACATCGGCCCGAGTCTACAAACGCTATTGACCGCGAAAAGGCGAGGACAGCCGAAATGGAGGAAAATCAAACATCGGAAAGTGTCGCTGTGTTACCGGACATGTCCGAACCGTTGACGAGCGAGTCCGAGGAGACGTCCGCCCTGACGACTGAACACGAAGCCCATCCTGTCGCCGTCACTTCCGTACCGGGTGTAACTAGTGTTCAAGGAGTTGGTGTACCGGTTTCTTTACCTGTCGGCTCCATCATCGGGGTTGCAAACGCCTCCAATGGAACTACCTTCAACGTCATCACCTCCGATCAATTACAGGTATTCTATTTTATTTAGTTAAATATTTTCCTTTCATTTCTCTCTCCCTCTCTTTTTTCATTTAGTTTTCTTCAAAATAGTTAATAAACACCTTTCTATTTTGTGACATTTGTATCTACACACTATATTTATATATACATGTCTATTGCAGCAACCTACATAAGTACACGTTATACACTCAATAACCAATCGTGTTGTCATGTTTTTAAAGTTCACGTGTATTGGTTTACTTTCTGCGCTATAGATTGCGTTAGATTGCTGTAAATATTTATTTACATAATTTTCTTTTACAATCACAATTTATTCTACTTCAACTTAATTACTTTGTTTCTTATTTATTTTGATTCACTGATAAGCTTTCTGTCAATTAAAATTTTCAATCAAATTTTAGAGAAAATTCATAAAGTTCATAAACACAAAATATTTTTTCTTAGTTTATGTTTTTGGAAATCTTACTGATGGATTAATTGTAAATTTACAGTTACCCGGTTCGGGTCAATTCAAGCAGATGTTATGCGTTGACAATAGTTTCATTTGTGAGCCCCGACACGATAAGGATACCGATCCACTACGTTGGAATGGTGAGTTGAAGGCAACGCACATTGTAATTCAAAATAGTGCTGATGACACTGACACGGAGCAACTTCATGTCTCGGCGGCGAATTCACAGCCAGTGTGCAGCTGGTCGGAGTCGGCTAGTATGGCCGTATTGCCAGTCAGGTGTAAAAATACAAATGCCGAACTACATAAAAGTAGATTTGGCTCAGGTGGTAGAGGACGTTGTATAAAATTGGGCCAGGAATGGTATACACCCAGTGAATTTGAAGCACTCTGCGGAAGAGCATCGAGCAAAGACTGGAAGCGTAGTATTCGTTTTGGTGGAAGAAGTTTACAGACTCTTATTGATGAACAAATATTAAAACCACACGCCACATCTTGCACCTGTGCAGCATGCTGTGATGATGACAGTGCTGTAAGTAATTTTATTTTTATTTTTAGAATTTAATTCAAAATATATTTTTAAATAAAGAAACGAGTTTTACAGGGTTGTCACAGGTCAGGGAAGTCAGGGAAAGTAAAATAGGTCAGGGATTTTTATTTAAAGTACTGGAAAAAATTAAATTTTTAGAATTCGTAAGAAAATTCTTAATTTTGTTTGTTTGTTTTTTTTTTACTCGAAAACTATGAAATTACCGCCAATTCTAATAAAAGAAACCTTCAAACTAATTGAATTTTAAAAGAGTTGCATTTACAATTTTCATTAATAGATGAACTTCAAAAGGTTTTAATTTAAAATTTTATAAAATTTCAATTTTGAATGAATTTAATTAGAAATTTTAAAGAACTTGGATTTTTGAAAAATGATAATTCAAATTCTTCTGAGAGTAGTTACATTTTTTATTATTCTTTTAATTAATTATTAAAAATAATGGATTTATAGAATAATTTTACTTAAAAAAAACTAAAAAAATAAATTTTGGAAAAGTGACGAATGATATTGCAGAAATTCAATTATTTTCAAAAAGTTTAATAAAATTCTTGGTAAAATTTCAATTATTTTCAATACAATTTTAGTAAAATTCTTCGCAGAAATTCAATTATTTTCAAAAGTAATAAAATTCTTCACAAAAATTAAATTATTTTTATAAATAAAAAAATTCTTAGTAGGATTTAAGATTATTTTCAAAAAATTTTAATAAAATTCTTCACAAAAATTCAATTATTTTCATAAATAACAAAATTCTTCGCAGAAATACCATTATTTTCAAAAATTGTAATATAATTTCCGATGAGATTACATTTTTTTTTTAAATTTTAATAAAATTCTCCGCAAAAATTCAATTATTTCCATAAATTACATAATTCTACACCAATTAGCATTTTTAAAAATAATAGAATTTAAAATTTCTCTCATTTAAATTTTTATTGAAAACACTACAAAAATTCAAATTACAAATAATTGCAGAAATTCAATTATTTTCCAAAAAAAGGAATTCTTCTGATAAAATTCAACTATGTTCAAAATTTGAAACGAATTCTCGTAAAAATCCCAATTATCTTTATAAATAACAAAATTCTTCTGCAAAGTTCAATTATTTTCATAAATGTCAAAAACATTCTTATCCTAATTTCAATTATTTTCAAAAAATTTTCTAATTTCAATGATTTTCAATATCTACTATTTTAATAAAATTTCCCAAAACGAATTCAATTATTTAAAAAAAATTTTAATAAAAGTGTTAAAATATTTTCAAAAATTTTAATAAAATTCTTTTTAAAAATTAAATTATTTTCAATGCAATTTTAATTACATTTCTTGAAAGAATTTAATTATTTTCATCATTTTCAATTTAATTCTTCGCAGATTATTAAAATTATTTTCCAAATTTTATGTAAAATTTGTCGCAAAAATTACATTATTTTTAATGTAATTTTAATTAAATTCCTCGGAAGAATTTAATTATTATTTTTAAAAAGTAATAATTCCATTATTTTCATAAATAATAAAATTCTTTTTAGGAATTCAATTATTTTCATAAATAATAAAACTGATTGCAGAATTTCCATTATTTTTAATACAATTTTAATCAAATTTCTTGAAAAATGTAATTTTTCTTAAAAAGTTTTATTAAAATTCGTCAAAAGAATTCAATTTTAAAAAACATTATTATTTAATAAATTAGTTATTTTTATATTTAAATAATTGAATTCTCGTAGAAGTTTCTAATAAAAATTGATTTAAAAATTAATATCAGTTAAAATTTTAGATAATAATTGAATATTAAAAGTAGTATCACTTGAATTTTTTAGAAATAATTGAATTTTGAAAAGGTTTCAAATTAAAATCTTTGGAAATCTAAATTTTTCATACTTTTAACTATCAATTCTGGAGAATTAATTTTTTTTTTAAAAGTTTAATTGAATTACTTTTTAAATTATTTGAAGTTTTTATTTTCTAATTTATATTTAATTGGAAAATTTTCGAATAATCGAAATTTCTTTATATTCTGTAATATTTAATTGTAAACAAATGGATTTTTGAAAATTCTCAAAGAATTTTATAAAAAATTATTAAAAATAATTGATTTAAAGAAGAATTTAATTATTATATAACCATGAAGAAATCGATCTAAATAGAGTTCACTAAATCATTCACTCCGAGTATTCGATTCGGACTGAATGATATCTTTATGTTTTACAATAAATTATGTATTCTTATAAGTTATTGAATTTCAAAAGGTTTGAATTTGTAATTTTTGAAAATCTTAATTCCTATGAAAAAATAATTTTCATTAAATATTTATTTAAAAAAACAGTTATTGATGTTTTTGAATAATTTTACAATTAAAGAAATTTGCAAATAAATGTATTAGAACGTTTTTTTTGAGCGTCAAATAATTTTTAGAGTGAATCAGAATATTTTTTAGGGTCAGGGAAAAGGTTAAAATTTTGTCTGGAAATGAGAGAAAAGTCAGGGAAAAACAGAACTAATTTTTTGTGGCAACCCTGTTTTGGGTCAGGTAAAAAGTCTTCTTTTTGTTTATCAGAGAAAAGTCAGAGAAAAACAAAATCAAATTTTAGTGACAACCGTGAATAATAATTATTAAAAATTTAATTGAATAGAAAATCAATTTTTTTTCCAGACTGGTCCAGTTCGTTTGTTCACACCCTACAAAAGAAGAAGAAGAGCTAGAGAAAATTCGGATGGCGAAACACCATCGCGTAAACATAAAAGTGATAATTCAAGGGACGGTAGTAATAATGATAGTGACAGTGAAGTTGTTGGTCCAGTGAAAGAAGTTTGGTCGCAATTTGTTTCTGAGGATGGTTTAGTTGTTCATCAATCGGAACAAGAAAGTGTTCAAGCTGAGAATGGACAAGCGGACGATGTATTTAGGAAATTAGACGATATGTCAAATAAGATGTTGAAAATTGCCTGTGACTTTAAGCGTACTTTAGAGGAAGCAAAAGAATTGTATAAACAACAAAGAAGAGAACAAGCTCTAGTCGCTCAATTGGGTGGAAGGGGAGATGTAATAGAGACTGTTGGTCTACAACCCGCACTTGATACTCACAATAAAAAGGTATTTTCAATTTTTATACCCCACAACGGTCGGACAATAACGAAAACTATCTAAATTGGAAGTCTTTTTTGCGATAAAATATTTGGGACGATGTATAATAATGAATCTTTTACATAATAAATTGTGAATTCTATTTCTAGTTTGAAAATTGGAATTTTTTGAATTTCAGTGCGCTAACTGCAATCGAGAAGCATTTGCGGAATGTTCATTATGCAGGCGTACACCATATTGTTCAACGTTTTGTCAACGTAAAGACTGGAGTGTACATCAAGGGGAATGTGTAAGGGGAGCTGCTGAAACTGTAATGCTGATAGTCGAAAGCAGTAGCGCTGACGCAAATACTTTAGGATCAAGTGGCGGGGACCAATAGCTACTATTCTTTTACTCATCTATTCAGTATAACTCAAAGTATCACATTGCAAAAATTTCAACAATTATTTATAAAAAGAAAAAAAACATTAAGAATAAGATTCCTACAAGTCAAGATACTTAATGTTTAAAAACGTGGAATTGATTTCATTTTGATTTCATCAATTCTTATTTTTGCTACATTTCTTTTTTCCGTTTTTAAGGAATCATAAATTTAAGACTTTTTTTACATGATATTTTTATGTATTATTATTTTTATAATTTAGGGTACTTTTAGTTTATTTGTAAAAAAAAACAAAAATTTGAAATTATAATTTCAAAAGAATCTTCTTTGTTAGTTGAGAAGGAAATAGCTAATTGGGAAATAATTTCATAAAGGTGGAAAAATTCTAAAGTTATAATTTAGAATTCCTTATATATTTATTTATTTTCTTTTTTTTTAGTTTATTGCCGTCCTTAGAGATTTTTTTTTGTCAAAAATCGAAATTTCCCTCTCGCTTTTCCTGATTAACTCAACAGCAAACATTTGTGCATTCGTTTATTTATAGAAAATTATATGTATATAATTCATTTACACATATAAATGTTGAGATATTAGCGTAAACTCAGTTTTTTGCGCTCCAAAAAAATCAACCAAAGTTGACTGTTTTTTTTAGAAAATAATTATGTGTGAAAAAATCATTGTACATTCATCTTTGTACATATAATCATGTATTCTATAACTTATTTGTTTCGCAAAATATACACGGTCCATTCTTTCACTCAAATTGTCTATTTTTATTTTATTCTACTTTTTATTTCCCTTTTATTTCTTTTTAAATTATTTTCTTCAAAGTTAAAAATTTTTGTTATCTTATTTTCATTTTATTTAATTTTATTACTTTTAATCCTAAATTTTTGAACGTTCTAAATTTATTGAACATTTATTACTTTCAAGTTGGTAGAAATAATTATTTTCAAATCGGCTAAAATAATTAATTGTAAATTATTGGAATATTTAAAAAATTGCCTGAAGCAGGGCTTACTTTCATTAGAAAAATTAATATTATTGCAATAATTTCTACTCTTTTGACGTGCGTACTCTTTTTTAACAGAAAAAAAGGAATTAAAATTCACTTACCACAATTCAACGAAGCTTCATTGTGCACGGTTGTTGAACATAATTTAAACAGAAACCTCTGTTACCAATATCATTTGGAGCTTCTATTCCATCGGTGTGGAAAACCAATCGAAATGGTTTCACTGTACCTGAAATTTAATATTCAAAATTAATTTGAAATCAATTTCGTTTCACCCTGATTTCCAGATAGAATTTCGACTTTTTCCCTGAGTACTATAAAAAAAAATTCAAACGAAGTTCAACAATAAAAAAATCAATTTTTACATTAAAATTTTGATTTAAAACATTAAGGTTGTTTATCTATTTTAAAAATTAAAATAAAGTGGAGAAATTTTCTTTATTATATTTAAAATTTTTTAATTTAATATTTTCAAGAATAAACATCAATTTTTGAATGATAACAGATTCAAAATTTAAAGAATTTACTTATTAAATACAAAATATTAATAAATAATATTGACTTGTGGCAACTCTAATAACAGATTTTTTTTATATATTATTTTCTAAGTAAACCAATATTTTCAATTATTAAGATTCCAGTGTAAGCAAGTATGTAGAAAAAAAATAGTTTGAAAAAAATACAAGTTTTCAAATCAAAATATTGCTTATATTTTAGAAAATTATTTAATTTCAAGAAAAAAAAATTGAATACTTACTGATAACGGTTGAAGAATTCATTATGGGTTCGGTATTGAAAGACCCGCCGCAAATTCTATCGATACAAGTTAAGCTTGTAGTTGGCATTCTTCCTGAACTCATTGCACACGGTATCATTAACCAATCCGTCTGACAATTTTGTCCAATTGTTGCTACTGGCTGTCCACTTACTGTATTCCCCGTTAATGAAAATGCATTACTTCTCAGTCCTTGTGGTAAATTTGGTATTAATCCTGATGTCACTTGCACTATTTGAACAATATTTCGAATATTACAATTAAATAAAAATCATAATAATGATAATATTAATAATTATTTTTATTATTTTTATTATTATTAGTATTAGCATTATTAGTATTTTAATTATCTTCAATTGATAGTAATTTACAATTTGTAAATTATTATCAACATAAATTTTTAAAAGTTCCTTAATTATTGGAAAAAATCTCCTAATTATTCAAATTAGACTTAATCTATTATATAATATTAGATTTAAAATATTTAATTTCTCCCAGTTATTAGAAAAAACATAAGACAAGAAATTTGCTTACATCCTTCAGAACAAGTCATGTACTGAATTCCACAAAAGTTTCTCTCCATACGAATGCAAATACTGTAATCTTGATTTGACAATTGCAAACCATTAATTGGATCGTAATTAAAAGATTTAATTTGTCCAGAAACTCCAGTATAGTACTGTAAACATCCCTCTTCGGCTTTGTAAATTGTACTGCAAGGAATTTGTGAAATTCGCACTTTCCATGAACGTTCAAATCCAGTTCCACTTGTGACGAAAGAAAGCGTTATTGGATTTGTTTGGCCGGTCCCTACGTCCACGTACACTAATCGTGAAAAAATCAAAGTCAATATGCAAAATAATTAATAAGTAACACTTTTTACAGTAATTAAGGTTTAAAAAAATTTTTTTTTTAATCTTACTGTGATTGCCATTATTATTTCCGCAAATTGGAGGAACAGGATTTCCACCGGAGACAATAAACTGATCGTAAGTGCAAAGATTATTTAGCGTCTCTGGACCACGAATAATAAATTGTTCAAAATCCAATCTGTAAAAATTTAATTGCAATTTTTAAAGTAATGCACAATTTTCAAAAATTGTAATAAAATTCTTGGAAAAAATTCAATTATTCTTAAAAGTTTTAGGTCATAAAATTCTTTGAAAAAATTCAATTATTTTTATAAATAATCAGATTTTTCTCAGGCTTTTTTATATTTTCAATTTAAATTTTTTAAAAAATTTCTCTAAAGGATTCAATTCTTTTAAAAAATTTAAAAAAATTTTTTTTGGAAAAATTCAATTAGTCTCAAAAGTTTTGTTAACCCGTTTTGTGAGAATTCAATTATTTCTACTACATTTCTTATAAAATTTCTCGAACTCATTATTTTCAAAAATTGTAATAAAATTATTCGTAAATTTCCAATACTTTCAAAATTTTCAATTAAAATTATTATTAATAAGACTACATTATTTTCAAAAAACTTTTAAAAAATTCTTCAAAAGAATTTTATTATTTACGAAAACTAATAAAATTGTTCAAAAGATTCAATTTTCAAAAATAATTTTAATGCATTTTAATAATAATAAAATTATTAATTACAATTAACAAAATCAATTTTCTTCAAAAGAAATAAAGAAATGCTTCGAAATAATTCAATTATCTTCAATATTTTAATAAATTCTAAGATGAATTCAATTATTCCTAAAAATTCAATTCAATTGTTTTCAAAAATTTGGATGAAATTCTTTATAAAAACAATTATTTTCAACACAAATTTAATTAAATTCTTCTAAAGAATTTAATTTTTATTCAAAACGTTTTCTTTGAAACAATTTAATTATTTTCAAAAATTTTATAATAAAATTCTTTTTCAATTACATATTTTCAACTATTAATTTTTTATAATATTTAATCTTAACTGTTATTATTGAAATTTTCTAAAATCAAAACATTTAAAAAGAGAAATTATCAAAAAATTATTAAACAAAAAGCAAACAGAAACAACTAAGTTTGTATTTTAATTAAAAAACATTTTCTATTCTTACCTAAATTGGCAAATATCCGGATGAGATTTAAGAACAGTTAATTGACAAGATTCAGTACCATCGAATGCTGCAGGATAATTAGTGTTGACAAAATAAGTGTTGTTGTCTATTGTTGTTTGTCCACAGCCCACAGTTACTGAAATATTTTTCACAATTATTTTATTTACACAAAATAATAATTATCCGGAAAGTTCCTAATTTTTTTCCATTATTAAAAATGACACAATTATTATTAATAATAGTTAACATTTCTTTCTTAATTATTATCAATAATTATTTTTTTTTCAAAAAGTCAAGAACTTTTGAGTGAAAAAAATAAAAATTTTATTAAAATGAAAAATAACTAAAAATATTATCAATAATAATTATTTCGCAAAAAGTCAAAAATTTTCAGGAAAAAAAGGAAAAAATATTAATAATTATTTTTGAAAAAGTTAAGAATTTTCAGTGAAAAACATTGAAATGACAAATAATATAAAATATTATCAATAATTATTTTACGAAAATTCAAAAATTTTCAAATATTGAAATGAAATATATTTTTTATAAACTTTAATAAATTATTTTAATAAACTATTTTTCAAATTAAAGAAAATAAAAAAAGAATAAATTTCAAATTTACCAAAGCAACAAACTCCATATCCATTGGCGCAAATTCCATTGCTAACACCTCTTCTTTGAACGCATTCTGCAGGCGAAATACAAGTTCCATTTTCGCCAGTGCTTCCCATACAGAGATTATTGTCAAACCTCACGACAGTAAATAAAGGAAGAACTGCAAAAAAAAAATAAAAATTTTCTTTAAAAAATACACACATTTTTTCCAAACAATATTAAGTCAAGAATTTTTATATCGCTGTAAATAAAATTGAAAAAAATGTGTACAGTAAATCATTACATACTTACGTCTTTGATCTCTCATCGAATTTCTTTTTAAATTGTGATTATTATTAGTTCTCTGCAATCTTGAATCTGACGAATTCAACTTATTTCTCTCATTAGACGACCAAAACCATTTTCTATCCAACATTCTGTCCTGACTTCTTCTCTGTCCATGTCTAACATTAAATTCTCCATGACCTGCTGATGAATAACAAATAAAGTAAAAAATAAATATAATTCCGTTACTTAACATTATTTTTATTTTGTTGTTGCTTTTTAAGGGAGAAAAACAATTTATAAATGTTTTTCTAAAAAATTTCTATTACGAAACATTCCGCTTTAAAGTCTTAGAGAATACTAAAGACCATAGAAATTTCTACACGCTTTAATATAAATACCCGGTCGCAATATTTTTATGGTCTGTTGAATAATATTTCATATTCACATACTAATACATTTGAAAGATGTTCTCTCGAGGCGTGAAAAATTCATGGAAAGTAGAGAAATTTATTTTGCAGTAAATAAGATATTAAATTTGTTAAATGTCAACTATTTTGTTTTGTTTAAATTCTCTGGACCAAAACAAAATACAACTTTCTTACTCTATTTAGAGGAAAATGACAATTATTTTTATATTATCATCATGATTTCTGTTAAATATGGCATGACTAAATTATGTTTTTCAATGACTTTCACTAAAAAATTTTTTCTTTTTTTTAAAAAATAAGCAGACAATTTTTCTGAACATATAATCTTCAATTATTAATTATACATTTTCTGTTAATTTTCCATTTTTTATTATATTGAAGACTAAAAAATTATTTAATTATTGTTAATCTCGAGTCATCAACTATAATTAAAAATGTCCGATCTGAAGGTTAGCAAATTATGGTTTCTTTTTGACATAATATCAACTTTTACAAAACATGTCAAAATTTTTAATTTCTGCTGAAAATTTAAAAAAAGAAAAATTGTTCATAAATAATAGTTATTGAAATGGAATCAAATTCGCATACTTTTATATTATGAATTCTTCAGAACTTCCCGAGCATTCAAAGAAATTAAACAATGCTGCAAATTCTGAAACTCCCGCTGTTATTGGTTAGTAAATTTCGAAAAATTTGGTTAGAATGTGCAAATAACAAATTCTTCTGATATTTTATTACCTTTTCAAAATTATCCATACTTGGTACTTTTTTTCTACTATTTACGAAAAATGGATCATTTTCGAATATTCCGATTACTGACAATAATTTGTTGAATAATAATATTTAATACATAAATCAGAAAATGAAAATACGGAGACAACAACAATTGAAAGAGTAATACCGGAAATTGTGAATTTAGCCCCCCCTGAAGAATTCATTCCTAGACGAAATTTAGCTTTTAGATCTTTAAACAGATCATGGATAAGCAAATGTTGCAGTACAACCGAAACGGATGAGGTAAAAGAAATTCAGAATTTATAGCAAAAAAAGAATTAAATATTTAAAAAATAAAAAAATTTCCATAAGGCAAATTAAGCCAAAAAAATAGAAAATTTAAAATAAAAAAATATTACAGAAAATTTAGAATTAACTGATTTATATTAATTTGAAAATTACAGAGATCACAGTATCTTTTTCCCTTAAAATTTAAATGAAAAGGTGAATTGTTTACTAAATATAGCATTTGTTTTCTAAACAAAAGATAATTATAATTATTTTTATTATAAATACAATTAACTAATTGTTTATTAATATTTTTTATTTTCAAACATTTTAATAAAATTTATTGAAACATTTCAATTATTTTCAAAAATTTTAATTAATTTTAATTCTTCGAAAATTCAAAATTCCCCGCAGGAATTCAATTATTTAAAAAGAATTTAATAAAATTCTTCGCAAATATTCAATTATTTAAAAAAATTATAATAAAAATCTTCACAAAAATTGAATAATTTTCATAAATAAGAAAATTCTTTGCATGATTTCAATCATTTACAGAATTTTTAATAAAAATTCCATTATTTTCATAAATAACAAAATTCTGTGCATGATTTCAATCATTTTCAAAAATTTTAATAAATTTCTTCACAAAAATTCTATTATTTTCATAAATAACAAAATTCTTCGCAGGAATTCATTAAAAATTTTTTTAATAAAATTCATGTCAAGAATTCAATTATTTTCAATACAATATTATAATAAAAAAATTTCCCGACAAGATTAAATTATTTTTAAAAATTCCAATGAAATTCGTTGAAACAATTAAAATTTTGATAAAATCCTTTATAAGAATTGAATTATTTTCAATACAATTTTAAGTACATTTCTTGAAAGAATTTAATTATTTTCATCATTTTTAATATAATTCTTCGCAGAAATTCAATTATTTTCAAAAATTTTAATAAAATTCGTAGCAAGAACTGAATTACTTTGGAAGGAATTTGAATTAAATTTCTCGAAAAAATTTAATTATTATTTTTAAAAATTGTAATAAATTTCTGAGGAATTAATAAATTATTTCAAATTCAAAATTTCAAAAGTTACAAAAGTTATAGAATTTTTTAATCAAGACATTAAAATAAAAAAATTCCAGTTTCTTTATGAAATAAATAACACTAACCGTATTTTAAAAAACCTTATCAAACTATGATAAATTGTTTCTAAAATATAAATAAATAAATGAAAAATTGAAGTTTCAAACGATTGAATTAGAAATTAATAAAAATTTATTTTTTGTTTAAAGTTTAGAAAAATTGAAATTCAGATCAACTGAATTTGAATTTAATTAAAAATATTAAAATGAGTTAAATAATTCAAAAGTCTAAAAATTTGGCTAACTAAAGTCAAAGTCAATAAAGGTTTTAATCTATGAAAGTTTCAGCAACTTAGAATTTCAATTTATTGAAATATAAATGAATTAAAAATTTTTAAAAACTAGTTTTAATTAAAAATATTATAAAAAGTTTACAAAGTAGGTGAAAATTAACGAAATACGTGAATATTAACGAAATAGGTGAAATAGGTGCAAAAAATAGGTGAAAGTCTGTGATCCTTGAAATTATTTAATTATTTTAATCAGGTCTAATTATAATCTTAATTTATTTGAAACCAAAACAAAAAATTTGCTCAAATTGGATTATATTAATTTTAATCAATTTTAATTTAACTATAGCTTATTTAAAAGTTTAATTATTAAACGCTTTTTCAAATTCTCTCATTTAAAGAAGCAGTTTAACAAAATTTAATTCAATTAGTGGTTATTGCTAATAATTAAATATTTTTATAAAAGATTGACCAACCTTACTCCAGAGAAGCTCCGCCGTCTTATTCGTCAATTTTTGTAAGACCAAATCGAAATAATGTTCAATTCTCATTTCTTCCATTGGATAGTCAATCTTCGTTTGAAGTTTACACACCGCCTCCAAGTTATGCTCAATCTCAAGGAATTTTCATGGAATCCTTATCAATGGACTTAATTTCCACTGCCTGTAAAAATTTAAAAATTTGTAATTAAATCCACTATTGATAATTACGAAATTTCGATAATTATAATAAAACTAGATAATTTATTATTATTAAAAATAATTAATTATAATTATAATTAAATAGTATTATTAAAAATTTGTTAATAATTTTTTGATAATTAGTTTTAACTTACTAATAATTTATTAATATTTAGTTAATAATTTAGATTAAAATAATAAGTTTTTAATAACCTATTATTATAATAATTAAAATAAAAATTGCATGCGATTAAACAAACCGTTACCTGAACAATTTGTAGCAAGCAGTGGCCGATTTTTATCTTCACAGCCAACCTTAGCAATTTGTCCAAGATGTGCAACATATACTCTCACAATTGTTCAAATTAATCGTTCAATGCTTACACATATTATAACGATCATACTTTTTTTAAGTGGGTGAGTTAAAGTGTTTTTCATATTAAAAAAAATAAAATATTTTGCCGCAGTTTTAAAGAATGAAAAAATAAATAAAAATACTTTGTTTCTAATATTTTAGTTGCTGTTGCGTAATTCCATATTTCGTGAATTCTCATCAAACTGTACATCATTATTGCTCCGTATGCCGTTCATACATAGGAATTTACACTCCATAATATTTAATATTATCAATTTATCAATTTAATATTGAAAAATCTTGCTAAAAAAAAGAACATTTAATTATTAAACGACGCACACAAAACGTTTGATTAAGAATTTTCGAAATTTCTCAGTTTCTCAATTTCTCCATTTCTCAAATTCACAATTTATAAAATACTGAAAAAAATATAATAAACAAAATTATAATTAAACAAATATGTAAAAGCAGTAATTACCAATAATGAAAATTAATGTAATCAAACTACCAATTCTAATAAAATAGAAATAAAAAAATGATGTCAACATATATGTTAAAAATTGTTAACACTAATTAATACTTATACAATCGAGCAATACTTAAGTGGCAATTAATTATTAATTATTATAATTAATATAATTAATATAATTAATATAGTAAATAATTAACACAATAATTAAATATTATAATTATTCCACAACTATGATTTAAAAACTCTTTTAGCAAACTAAAATATTCTGTGTGTCATTAACCTTATTCATCATCATTTTACTCAATCATTAGATAAAAATTAAATATTAAAATATTATATATTAAAATCACAGTATTTGAATGTACAAAATTCTTATTTCTAATACCGCATTACTTTAAAATCTTAGAGTAGAAGAATATTTTAGTCTTAAAAGTCTAATATATTTTTTTGTAAAAAAATATTATCTTTTATCTTATAAAAAACCGTTAAATTGAAATTAAAATAGAAAAGAATATATAAAGTTCGATACATACATTGAAAAGATAAAAGATTTCCTTTTCAAGACATCTTAATGAATAGTCAGGTACTAACTATTTTTCTTAACGGAATTAACAAAAATTACAAATAAGCTTGCCAACCATGAAAGAGTAGGCACAAATTACTGGGATCTCGGGCCTGTTGAATTAATCTTTCAACTTGTCCCTCGACGCTTAAAGTGACACCCTCCTCAATTCCCTGTAACTTTTGTTGTACCTTGAGTAAAGCTCTATTTGCAAATTTGTTTATTTCCAATGCACCTGAAGCAATGGGGAAAATTAACGAAATATTTTTATATTAATTGCATTATATTAATTTATTAAGTGCTATTATTAATTGCATATATTTAAAATAAAAAAGTATATGAGCAGAGTTGCCACTAAAATTTTATTTTCTTTCTCCCTGATTATTTTATTTTTAGAAATTTTTGAGAAAATTCTTTAAGAATTCAATTGTTAAAAGAAAAATACGAAGTTCACCTAAAATAATTCTAAAATCTACTTGTTTACAATTAAATTTTACAATATTTCGATTATTCGAAAATTTTTCATTTAAATAAATATATTAAAAAATTTAACGAATTTAAAAAAAAATAAAACCAAATTTTTCAAAAAATTAACTTTTTCAGAATTTTAAATTAAAATTATTTAAAATTTAGTTGACAATTGCTTTTTGTTTCCTAACTTTTATTAAAATTTTTCTTTTTAAATATTTTCAATTTTAAAATTAGTGTATTGAATATAATTCGATTCTTGCAAAGAATCTTATAAAAAAATTTCAATAATTGAATTCCTTTGAAGAATTTCTTTGAATTTCTTTAAAATAAAATGGAGTTTGTTAAATAATTTTAATTAAAAATTTTGAAAGCAATTAAATTTTATGAAGAAGAATTTTATTAATACTGTATTGAAAATAATGAAATTTCTGAGAAGAATTTTATTATTTATAAAAATAATTTAATTCTTGCAAAGAATTTTACTATATTTATAAAAATAATTAAACTCTTCCGAAGAATTTATTAAAATTTTAGGAAATAAATGAATTTTATGTAAATATTGAAAAATAATTAAATTCTTTTGAGGAATTCTATTAAAATTGTTATAAAAAGAATTGAATTTCTGCAAAGAATTTTACTATTTATAAAAATAATTGAAATGATCGAAGAATTTATTAAAATTTTAGGAAAAATTGAATTTTATGGAAATATTTGAAAATATTTGAATTCTGCCGAGGAATTCAATTAAAATTGTTTTGAAAATAATTAAATTCTTGCAAAGAGTTTTACTATTTATAAAAATAATTGAATTGTTTCGAAGGATTCATTAAGATTTTAGAAAATAATTGAATTTATTAGAAATATATTAACATTTTTTTTTAAATTGAATTCTTCTGAAGAATTTAATTAAAATTGTTTTGAAAATAATTGAATTTCTGTAAAGAATTTTACTATTCATAAAAATAATTGAATTGTCTCGAAGGATTCATTAAAATTTTAGAAAATAATTTAATTCTTTCGTGAAATTTTATTGAAATTTTGTTAAAAATAATTGAATTTTTGCAAAAAATTGTACTATTTATAAAAATAATTGAATTCTTCCAAAGAATGTTATTATTTATATAAAAATAATAAGATTAAAATTAAAATTAAAATTATTATTAAAAATAATAAGATGGAAAAAAATCGAAAATATTTCAAGGTTTTTAAGTTTTTCGAAAATATTTTGCAAACTAAAAAACAAAGTTTTTGTAGTAATTCTATAGAGATTTGATATTTTTACAGCATTTTTTATAAAATTCACTGACATTTCCCTGACTTTTGGCAACCTTGAAGGCATTTTTTTTAAAGAAGAAAGAGAAAAATATGTAAAATAATTGTAAAATAAATATAATACTTTACCAGTGTTGCTACTTGAAGATTCAAGTGTACTGGAGTTTTGAAATTTGGAGGCTTTAGTTGAACTTATGGACCATATAAATAGAGGATCATAAAGCAAAACTTGAAGTAATGTTACGATTATTTCTCTCTGTTCTTGCAGTAATTTTAATGTTTTCTCGCAGGAACGTCTCATAACGCCTTCAACACCCGATATTCCCATTGGGACCTCAATGTCACGTGTGAGACGAAATGGAACCGTTTCCGGTGTTGATAAAAGTTTTCCTTGCTCGAAAGCAATGCCTAGAAAAAAACCACAAGATTATAATAATGATAAAAAAAATAATAATGACAATGACAATATTAACTAAAAATAATCATCATAATAGTAATTATTACTTTATATATTTTTCATAAAATTATAACAAAATTTACTAAATATTGAACTGTTTTAAAATTTAATATATTTTGAATATTAAATTTAGGAAAAATTTGAACTTTTTTCTACAAGAAAAAAAAGTATTTCTTCTACTTAGAAGCAAAAGATCTAAATTAAATTAAACGGAAAATAAATTACTTTCTTCTTACCGAAATCGATATGTATTACTTCTGCTGTCGTATGGTCAATTAATACGTTTTGTAAATGTCGATCTCCAACGCTCAGAATGTATCCAACAATTGAAGTTGTAGCAATGCTAAAGAAAAACCAATTTTGGATTTTTTGCAACATTTTATGGAATTAATTTTTATAATCGAACATTAATTTATTAAGACAACAATTTTTAATTTTAATTCATAATATTTAACGCAATTATATTATTGCAATAAAATTTGAATTTTAAGTAAAAATAAATAATTTCGTTCATTTGAATTTTAAAAACTTTAGAGACTTGACAAATAAATAAAATAAATGAATATTCATAGGAACACATAAAAAATCTTTTTAGTGATAAATAATAAATATTTATAGAAATATATAATTTTTCTCATTGATAAAAAAAAATATCACAATTTACCTTCGAGTGTAAGTCAATCTTCTCTCAAACCAAACTTCCGACGAAGGATACATTTCAGTGAAGAAATGATGGAATGCTGGATGCAATTGTTTACAACATTCAAGATATGCTTTTAATTTCATTTCATTTGAATCACAGGACACGGCCTAACAAAAAAATAAAATAAATTTAAAGAAAATGAAAAAGAAAGAAAGAATGAAGTATGAAAAAATTAAGTAAATAATTTTTTTGCGATTTTACCTCCATTTTTTTGCGGCATTCCAATCCTGTAAGATCTTGTGGATAGTATTTTTTATGAATTCCTGAAACTCGATCCGCACCGAGAAGAATATGCGATATTGGCGATGTATTTTCGCACCACTCCAAAACTCCCGAACGTTGTGTAAGAGGAACAACCTAAAAGTAAAATAAAAGTCAATAAAATTGTTAATATTGTGTTAAGAATTAAATTACATTAAAAATTAACAAACGAGTCAAATAATGAAAATGGAAGAAAAGAAAATCTTCATGACTTACCTTATAGGTTCTAATATTTAATTTTCTTTCTTTAGTTTCCTTATTCGCGTTCAATAATGAATTAATAACTGTGAATACTTGTTGCATCACAGCATCCTGTCTCATGTCATCTTGTCCCTAGAAAAATTATAAAGTACATTATAAAATAAATTAATAATATTCAACATAGGCAAATAAATTCTTTCGAAATTTATAAATTAAGTAATTTATATATTAACTACCAAAATATATGCGCGCCAGCGCGCGGAACGTGGTATTCCATTTATTATTTTGTAAATTAAAAAACTTTATATTTTCAAGAATAAACATCAATTTTCGAATGATTGCAGATTCAAAATTTAGAGAATTCACTTATTAAGTACATTAAATATTCTTGTTTATTATTATTCAAAACTTTTAATAAAATTTTTCGCAAGAGTTTCATTATTCTTATAGATAATAATATTTTTTAGAGCAATTCAATTATTTAAAATAGGTACAATTTTAATAAAAATTCTCGAAAGAATACAATTATTTTTTAAAAATATTAATCAAATTCGATTATTTTCAAGAATTTTAATATAAATTCAATTATTTTAGACAATTTTGATGAAATTATTTTTTTAAAAAAATAATTATTTTCAAAATGTTTAATAAAATTCCATCAAAAAATTCAGTTATTTTCAAAAATTCAGATACAATAATTCTTCGAAACGATTCAATTATTTTTATGGATTGTAAAATCCTCCACAAGAATTCAATTATTTTCATAAATAAGAAAATATTTCTCAAGATTAAAATATTTTCATAAATAATAAAATTCTTCAAAGGAATTCAATTATTTTTAAAAATATAATTTTAATTCAATTACTTTCAACAATTCTGATAAAATTCTTCGAAAAAATTCAATTATTTTTATAAATTGTAAAATTCTTGACAAGAATTAAATTATTTTTGTAAAGAATAAAATTCTTCTGAGAAATTTAATTATTTTCAAAATTTTTAATGCAAATTATTTTAAAAAATTACATTATATTTACGAAATTATATGAAATTCTTTAAAAAATTTAATTATTTACAAAAACTTTAATAAAATTGTTTAAATGAATTTAATCTTCTATGAATAATTTTAATATAATTTAATAGGAAAATTATTAATTACAATTAATAAGAAACACGATTATTTAAAAAATTTAAAAGAAAATCTTCATAAAATTCAATTACTTTCAAAATTTTCAGCAAAAATTATTTAAAAAATCTCCATTATTTTCAAGATAATTGAAATAAATTCTTCAAAACAATTGAATTATTTTAAAGAATTTTAATAAAAATCTTGCCAAGAATTAAATTATTTTCAATACAATTACATCGACAATTTAATTATTTCTGAAAATAAATGAATTCTTGAATAGAATTTTATTAAAACTTTTTTAAATAATTGAATCCCTGCGAAAAAATGTATTATTTCTACAAATAATTGAATTTTTGCCAAATTTTAAAATTGAAGTGAATTTTTGAGAAGAATTTTATTAAAATTATATTTAAGATAATTGAATTCCAGTGAAAAAATTACTATTTATTGATATTATTGAATTCTTTCGAAAAATTTAAAAAAAAATGTTTAAAAATAATTTAATTTTCCCTGGAATTCAATTAAAATTGTATATATATAAAATAATTGAATTTCAGCTAAAATTTCATTATTTTTAAAAATGATTACATTCTTCAATTGAATTTTATTTAAAGTTTTTTAAATAATTGAACTCCTGTGAAAAATTTAATTATTTTTTAAAATAATCGAATTCTTTCGGAGAATTTTTACAAGATTTTTAAAAATAATTAAAATTTTCGAAAAAAATAATTCAAATTGTAATACAATTATTTTCAATAATTAAAAATGAGTGAAATCCTGATAGGAATTTTATTATTTATATAAATTTTTTATTTATTTGTTGACCTTAATATTATTATATAAAAATAATTGAATTTTTTATCAAGATTTTTATTATTTATAAATTGACTTTTTGCGAAGAATTTTATTTACAATTATTGAAAATAATTGAATTATTCATAAAATTCAATTACTTACAAAATTTCAGTAAAAATTATTAAAAAATAACTCCATTATTTTCAAGAAAAATTTATATAAATTCTTAAAAACAATTTAATTATTTTAAAGAATTTTAATAAAAATCTTGCCAAAAATTAAATTGTTTTCAATACAGTTTTAATTACATTTTCTCGAAAAAATCAAGTATTGTAAAAAATGTTGATAAAATTTTTGAAATGAATTTAATTATTTAAAAATTTTTTTATAAATACTTTACAAGAATTCAATGATTTTCATTGCATTAATTTTTAAATTTTAAACATTTAAAAAGTTATTAAACAAAAAAGCAAACAGCATCTAACTTCAAATTGCGAACAGATTACCGGAATACAACTTATTTTATTTTGCTACGTATAAAAAATTTAACAATCTCTTTTTCGACTTTTTCATATTTTTAATTAACAAAATTCTGTATTAATTACTTTTTGCTTTTTTTAAACAGAGAAATTTTAATAATTTAATTTATAAATAGAGATTTTTGTTTTAAAAACTACAAGAAAATAGAGTGAAAAAAAGTGTCAAATAAGAGATATGAGAAAAGTCAAATAATTACCTTGACCAATTGTATTCTTGTAATACCATCAGTTCCAATACACTCAACTTTTTTTGGTGCATTTATTCCACCAACGTTGACAAATGTGTTTTTGTACTTTTGAATACCGATAATATTCTCATAATTTCCATTTTTCCGGACACTCATTGTTATTGTTGGTATAGCGATATTATTCAAATGTTTAATATTACAAATCGCCTGATTAGACGGTATCACGTGCGATGAATTTGCTGAAAAATTTTACACATTTAAAAGTACAAATTTCTTTGCAAATCATGAAAAATGTAGTAAATAGAGTAGATGAGCGCGAAGCCTGCCAATAATATTTTAATTTCTAATTAATAATTCAAATAAACAATTGATTTGATTTCAAATTTGATTTAAAAAAAAAATAAAGAGAAGAAAATATAAACTTACGTCGTTTCTTTTCTGCCTGAAGATACGCAAGTTGCACAAGTGAATGAGAAAGTTGTGACATTTCCTCAATAATAGGATGAATTTTCGTTTTCAATAAATGATTAATCAATTTTGTCGCAGCCTTAACTCGTGCCATTGGTTCAGTTTCTCTAGGTACTTGCAATTTTCCAAACTCCGAATCCCCCATTAAATTCTTCAAAGCCAATAAAACAGGTAGTGTATGATGTGGATGCTCCATAGCGCACTTTCTCAAAATTTCATTAATTTTCGACGTAAACTGATCATTCACGATATTCATATGCGGCGCCAATTGCGGTATAAGAGGAACAAATTTATAAGAAGCAATTTTTGAAAGATACTTGGATAAAATTGAATTAAAAATTGCATGCTGCATATTATCCAACCAAAGTGATACGACGCGAAATATCAGGAAATCATGATCACAACTCTGCTCTAATGTTTTCAAATAATATCTAAAAATAGACGAAAATTTTACAGAAACTTTTTTATCGTAATTTTTTTGTATTACGGTTTGATCCATAATTTAAAATATTTGAACACTATTTCCAAATATAAAAAAATAATATACTTACTCCAATGCAAGCGAGAGATATAAATTTTTATCATTTTCAAAATTCTCGAGTTCAGCTGCATCATTTTTGCTTTGTCGTTGATAGATGTTTATTGCTCTTCTCAATTCGTTATCCTTGGCATCGATTTTGTCTGACATACTGTTGGAAAGTTGCGCTAATGATTTTAGAGTTTTGAATTGAGGCGATTTTATGTACTCCGATATTTGTCGATATTGCATATCGGCGAATCTAGCCAGTGCGGCATGTGTTTTATATAAATTAATTAAATCATTTGATGTTGGCTCCTTGATCGACAAGAAAGTGTTTATCGATTCTTGATAATACTGCTTTATAATAACCTGCAAATTGAAAGGTTCTTCAAAAATTTCTTCATTTCTTATTCTATTATTTATCACACAATAAAATGAATGAATAAAAAAATAATTTTAAATCAGTGAATCAGTGAAAAATTCTAACATTTAAATATAAATTAATTAATAAGTAGGTATAGTAAGTAATAAGCTAATAAATAGAAGGAAATATAAATTTTTAAAAATGCTGTTTTTAAGAGAAGAAATTATTATGATAATTTCAAAATTTTGTAAAAGATAAATTACACTTACTTGAGGATTTCCCGACTCCGTTTCTCCGATCCAATTTCCAAACGTGCACAAAGCTTGAGCCCGAAGACTCGGCAATACCGAAGGATCGTTCATTAAAAGTCTGAGAAGAAATTGAGCTATCTGCTGATTATCTTGACTCCATGCCAAATGTGCTTCAGTGAAACATAATTTATTCTTTATCTCCTGGGACAAATTATTCTGTTTCGCTAAAGAATCTGAAAAATATTTTTTATTAATTATTACTTTAATATTAAAATTGATTCAAAATTAGTTTAATCAATTTTGTAATAATTATTATTTAAAATAATTTTAATATTTTAATAATAGACTTAGAAAGTAAATAAACTGAATTTCAAATAAAATAGATAAAAGTAAAATTAATGTAAAATTAATTTCAAATAAAGTAGAAAAAATATTTCTTACCTAAAGTTCGAGTTGCTATTCTAAAATGTCCTCGTTGTTCAGCAAAATGAACTAAATCCAAATGCATGTCGATTAAAACATTCTTTAAACTATCGTCCGTCACGTGCAACTGCTCAATTTTGCAAATAGCAATTCTCTGCGAAATCAATGGCTCGACAAATTCAAAATCATTATTTTTGATATACTCATAATGTTTCCATTCATTAACACGATCTCTATAATCACTGGAATTTGTGTTATTACACTCTTCAATTTCCCGCAACATTTGCAGTTGTGTCAACATCGGATACACAGCTTTCGTACTCTCTGTAAAAAAAGAATATCAACATCAATTTTTCTTTCTAAAAAGAGCACTTTCTAAATTGATTCTACAATTTTTTGTATTAAATTTTCTATTTTAATTGCTAATTTAGTAATTTTAGTAACTTTAATTACTTCATGAAAGTTGGCACAAAATTTTTATTTTATTCTTCCCTGATTTTCAGACAGAATATTGAATATTTCCCAGACTCTAAAAAATATTCTGATACACTCTTAAAATAATTAGATACACAATAAAATGTTTTTAATGCATTTATTTGGGAATATCTTTAATTCTGAAATTATTCAAAAACTTCAATAAGCCTTTATTTGGATAAATATTTAATCATTATTATTTTTTCATAAAGATTATGATTTACAAAAATTCTAAATTTCAAACTGACACTAACTTTTCAAAAATTATTTTCAAGATTTAAAATCAATAATTTTCTAGAATTTTTAACTGAAATACTTCACTAAATTAATTATTTTTAATAATTTTGAACTAACTTTTTCATAATCATTATTTCTTTTTAATTCTTTAATTTTTTTAAAATTATTTAAAATTTCAATTTTAAACCTTTTAAAATATAATTATTTTTGTAATTTTTAAGAAAAATTATTTGTTAAAAAAATTATTTAAAACAAATTATTGTCAAAAATAGAAAAAAATTTAGAAATAATATTTACTTTTCATAATTTTACATTAATAAGTTGATGTTTTTTAACAAAAAATTTTTGTAGAAAAAAAAATGTTATTCTAATTTTTTAAATATTTTTAATTTTGAAAATATGAAATAATTTAATTCTGGCATAGAATTTCATTAAAATTTTAAAAAGAATTAAATTAATTCGAAGAATTGTATTAAAAACTTTTTAAAATAATTGAATCCTTCTAATGAATTTGAACAAACTTTTTAAAAATAATTGAATTCTTTCAAGAAGTTTGATTTTTGAAAGTAATTGACTTCTCTCAAGGAATTTGATTTTTGAAAATAATTAAATTCTCTTAAGGAATTTTATTTGTGAAAATAATTGAATTCTTTCGGGGAATTTGATTAAAATCTTTAAAAATAATTGATTTATTTCGAGTAATTTTATAAAAATTTTTTAAAATAATTAAATTCTTTCAAGGAATTTTATCTGTGAAAATTCAAAATAATTAAATTCCTGTGAAGAATTTTATTAATTACGAAAATAGTGAATAATAATAATTAATTAGTTAACAAGTGAATTTTTCTAATTTTGAATATGAAATCATTGCAAAATTGAAGTTTATACTTGAAAATAAATCTATAAATATTAATACCTATCATAAATATTATGATAATTTAATATTTTTTAAAAATAATTAATATTATTCAAGAGAATAAATTAATATTATTATAATGATAAAATATGAAAAATGATTTCTATTTACCAAGACTAATATTGCGAAGACATTTAATCACACAACAACGAGCATTGTCAATGGCTTGCTTTACTCCCATTTTGTCATTTTCATTGAGGCATTTAAGAGCTTCATAATGATATTGACAGTAACTTGGATTTTTCTCGTCAATTAAAGAATTAACACTAGTTTGCGAAGAAGATTTCTGCTCCAATAAATTCCAATCTCCAAGTCTCCAGGCGCATTCATATTTATAATCGTTATGCTGCTTGTTTACTTTATCCTCATTTATACTCGACGTAAATTGATTTAGTAGAAAATACAAGCCAGTCTGTTGCAAAATATGAAGCATGTCTAAGGAAAAAAAATCTGTTTCATTAAAAACATTTCTTACAATTACAAAATTCCAAATATAACAAAAAACTAAAATAAAAAAATATTCTGAGTGCATTATATTAAATTATATTAAGTATATTAATTTTGTTTTGATTTTTTATTTTAATTTCTTATTTAAATTTTTTACTTTTAACAAATTTTTGTATTTTAATTTTAAATTTGTTTTTAATTGTAAATTTTATTATCTTTTTAAGAATGTTCTAAAAATAAATTCAAATTAAAACAAAACCAACATAATGTTAAAATATAGAAAAATTTCAACTTTAAATTTAAAGTTTTGATTTAATTTAAACTTCTACTGAATTTAAAAGATTAAAAAAAATTTATAAACTTAATTACTCACCCTTTTTGGACTCAATTCCACACGAAAGTTCAATATCCTGCATGAGCATTGCTTTATCCCATTGCTTTAAATCAACATAATGTCGTATTCTCGACGCAGAATCAAGTAAATGCATCGATCCACATCCATGAATCGCGTCCGGATCACCAATTCTTACATTAGCCTCACGAACAATATCCTGAAGAATTTTCCCACGCACCGGATCTTTCTCAATAATATAATCAATTAACGTACTCGTGCCAATATAACGATTTCCATTTAAAAACGAATCACACCAAAGTTCCGCATACAATACAGACGTAAAATAAGCCGAACAATATTGCGCTCCTTTTGCAATTGATAAATAATCAAAATTCAAATTCACAGTTCTGTCCGACTGAATCCAAATGAAATTCACTATATTCAACATACACTGTACCGATTTATAACTGCATTCCGGATTTTCCCCTTTATTCGATTTCCACGTTAGAGAATTCTCCTCATCGCCAAGGGGGAAATTATGATGAAAAAATCGATTAATAAATGCGCAAGTTTCGTCAATTAATTCCGTATTATCAATCAATACATTCACCATCAAAGGAAGAAGTTTCTCACAAAATTGCACGCTCAATTTAAAAATAGGAATAATACTCTGCATGAAAAAATTTTGATAACAATCAGCAATTGTACAGGTAAAATTTTGAATCCAATTTCCATAGGCATCCGTGGCAGTTTCAATCCAAGAATTCTCTCTCAATTCCCCACAAATCTCTAAAATTACAGCTTCACTCGAATCACTGACACTTGCCTTCGTTATAAATGGTCGAATATATTTCAACAAATTCTGTAACTTATCACTATTCATAATGCCCTCGAAATTTTTCAAATAATTTTCCTTTATCAAAATACGTCCCCAATATGACGAGAGCACCGTGTACAATGCCATCGCACTTGCCTCGCGAATTTCAATATTTCTATCATTTATCAAATCCGACAGCAGAAGCAATATTTCGTATGTCAACATTTCCAAACGTTTACTATTCTCAATTCGTTGTATTTGTTCAGGTAGAAGAATCATTGTTGACAAATTACCAGGACCCAAATAACCCAAACATTTTGCCGCCTCTTGAGAGATTTCCGCCTGTGACGATTCCATCAATTTCGTCAATTTATGTATCAAACGATGTAAAATACTCGATGCGCTACAAACTGTTTCCAATTTTTTATAATGCTCCTTCAATTCCTCCCGTCTCTTCGATAATTCCCCCCCTAAACGCTCTAAACTTTCCATATCGGTTGAATTTTTATTCAAAAAATAAATAAACTCCGTCTCTAGTGATTCAATCCTCGTGTTGTAACAAAGATCTTTGTGTATTTTTCTCATCTCCTCGAAAGCTGGTGAATTGGGAAAATATTCCAAATTTGCGATTACGTCGACGAAAGAATTCTTTTGCTCCACGATGAGAAATTTGAGAACTGAGACTGCTGACTTCTCGTCCCTCAGAACACAGCGAGTTAGAATTCTAACGCAGGGAATAAACATCTCTTTGAAAAAACCAGAACGTTCCGGTAGAAACATTGCGAGGAATCTACGTAAATACCCACAGATCACTTCAGTAAAATTCTCCTCTTCAATTTGAAAAAGCAACGTAGAGCAAATATCTCTTATCAAAAAGGGCGCAATTTCATCAAATTGACCACTTTTCATTTCCCTTGCAATTATATCACAGAAATAGAAATACTGATGAAGTGCCTTCAATTTAAACTCCTCGTTAGTAGTATAAACATTTTTCGTCAACTGAAGTAGGACTTTTTGCAAAACATCCCTACGTTCTGCTCCCAAATAGTGCACTAATTTACCCGAGAGGAAAAAATTATTCTCCATATACAATAGACATTCGTCAATGTCACTGACAACAAGTCTCGTGAAGCTCGTCTCGGGAAATTTAACACTCAATTTCGAAACATTCGAAAAATATCCCTCGTCATGCAACTCCTCCACTAAAACAATAATTATCCGATCTAAATTTTCATGAAGTAGATCAATAAATCTTTTCACCGCTTTAAATTCCCTTTGATTCGTTTCCAAATTACGAAGTATATTCCTCAACCAAACTTCTGGATTTTTAGTCACTTTCGTCAATAACCAGGCGATTACTTTTGAAAAAGACTTCTCAAATTCTCGTTCGAAATTAAATTCCTGTTGCTCGCAGAGAATCTTCGCCTGATCGATATTTCCCGTTTGAATCAATATCGGAAGTAGCGTGTGCATGAAAACTTTGTAAAATTGTTCCTCACTGGAGCAATAAGTCACATCGAAGGGGAAATTATCAAACGATTTTTGCACATTCCACCAACTGATCAGTAGATAATTCAAATTTTTCTCAACTATCGTCTCATTCTCTTTTTCTTCCTTCAACATGATTTTCAGTATTTTTCGAACATTTCCACTATCGACACTTTTTAGCGCCGCGAAATGAACCAACAGAAAAAGGGCCGGTAATCGAAAGAAATTGGAAGCGTAAATAATTGCCGAGATAATGTACAACATACTCGTTCCTCGAGTCATTAGTTCATCGCTTTTCTCCATATTCTTCAAATCTCCCTTGACTAGAAATGAATCGTGAAGCAAGAGCTTCAATTTTTCGAATAAATACATTTTCCACTGATAATCAATGTCGACTGATGAAAATAATTCATAAACGCATCGTGCCGCTTCCAATCGCACCACAAAGAAAGAACTATTAACGTACTCGAATAGATATTCAACAACCGATTCATTTTGTCTTAGAAATTTTAACGAACGATCAATTTTAATAATTTGCCTGAGAGATTTTAAAAATTCCAAATGCATCAAAGGACCGTAAGTTTTTATTGGTTCTCGTATTTTATTCTGTAGAATTTCGTGAAATTTAGTGACGAGCTTTAAAATACCGGTAATATTCTCTTCGAATCGAACAGCAATTTTGAAGAAATTTGGCAACCAGCGTAATAATTTCAGTGCAATTTCCTGATTTTTGTATAAATAGGGAAATAGTTCGTTAAGTAGATTTTTGAAAATTTCGACAGATACTTGTGTGTGTATTCCCGATTCGCTTTTACTGATTATTTCCAAAATGTTCATTAATACTTGAATATCTTTCGATGATTTTAAATCGTAACCCTCGACATTTAACAGACTTTCTAGCAAATTTTCCTGAATGTCAATTAATTCTTCGTCAGTTGCTATACAACAGTAGAGAATAAGTGTTTTAGCGATACTATTCTTTTTTTCCTCAATAGTGGCTTGTTCCATTTGATTGTCCTTGTCTATGAAATTCGTATCTTGGTTCGATGTCAATTCCTGCGATTTGGGAATATTGACATTTTCCAGAGATTTTAAGTGTGAATATAAATTTTGTAGCGCCTTCACATTCTTCACGGTTGAATCGATGATAATTTGATTAATTTGACAATTATTCGTTGCTTGAAAAAGAATTCTCAGGACTTTCATCATATGTAACGTATTTTTATGATCGAGTTTTGTTAAATCCGTGTCGGACAGAAATTTAAAGATTTTCTCAAAATTCTCCTTAAATAGAGGCAATAGCGGAAAATCGTGAAAATCATTTTCGAAGACTTCTATTTCTTTCAAATCATTAATTATTCTTACAATTAGAGAACATTTGACGATAATTACTCTTACCGATTCGCTCTTATTTGTCGGTTTGAGAATATTCTCCAATTGCGTATAGAAAGCAGCTAAATATTCTCTATTATGAAAATGTTTAATTTGTTCCGTGTCGTTGTTCTTCGTTGGATTCTTATTTTCGTTGAAAATATTAATACGAAATTTCATAGCTAAATAACATTTTTCCACATCTGTGAGATTGAAATTTGATTCGTCCAAAGGGACATTTTCTTTCGAAATTGAATTTTTGTGCCATGATTTTAACATTAAACCAATTAATAGTTGAGATATGATTTTTATCGAATCTAAAGTTCTGATCTTTTTCCACGGAACTGCTGAGACCCATTCTACAATTTGTGTTTCAAGTGGAGTCATGTAAGTTATTTCGGAACTTGAATTTGTACTTAATTCAATGAGTCTCTCGGGTAATATTGTGTGACTGCATATTATCAATAAAGTTTGAAGACCAAACAGGGACCAATTCATTGTTTTTGTGACGTACATTTTCAGCAGAGAATTCAAATTTATGAATCTGTCGTTTTCGATTAAGTACTGTAAAAATTGATGACCCGCCTCTTGATTGACCTTTGTCGACAAGTAGCTAAAAAATTTATTCTTCATAGTAAAAAATGAATAATTTAATTAGAGGTAAAAAGTGCATTGAATTTTTAAATAAAAAATATTCTTGAAAATTAATTTTTAAATTTATCTAAATTTTGTTTAATAGTTTCATTAAACCGATCAGTTGCTTGTTGTAATTTTCAAATTATTTAGTATTTGAAATAATAAATATTCCAAAAAAATGCATTTCCAATAATGTTCTTCCATTCCCAATTTAAATAAAATAAATAACATACCTTGCGACTGTATCTAAAATTTCGCTCCATAAAAATTTGTTCTTATTCCATGTTTCTTGGGAATCAAAATTTTTCTCCACATCCACGAGCGCAATTCCAAGTTCGTATAAAGTGAGAACAACTTTTGGCAATGTACTGGACTGCATAAGCAGTGAAGACAAAGTTTGTAGAAATAATGTGAACTCCTGTGGTTGAAGAGTAGCAGTGGGATACTTCTTAAAAAGTTTGGCAAAAATCTTTAACATCGGTAAGGCTCTTTCCGGCGAACAACCAGTAATCATATTAATCAATAATCCATTTTCCTTGGAAATGCGTCTTCTCTTTGGATTCTCACTACTCTGAATCTCCGTCTGACTGAAAACTTCTTCCGCTGCTGTTGGATCTTCTATTATTTGCCTGAAAACTAATAATTTCAAGTTCAAAAATTAACTAAAAGAATAAAGACAAAAATAAGAAAATCACACAATAATAGAATAAAAATTTCCCAATTGAGAATATAAATGAAAGACAAACAATTTTTGGAAAAATAAATAAAAATGTAAAAAATTTACCTTCACATCCAAGATCAATGCAAATATTGGATAGAGTTTGAGTTTTACTGATTTGTAAAATCATTGTACACATGTTTCGTAATATTGTTTTCCAAATAGCGGCATCAATAACACAAGAATTTTCATTGTTCATTGTCGCTCCAAGTGGATGATGACTTTGAACAAATATCAGAAACAATTCATATTTCTCATCGTGCTTGAAATTCATACATTTTGGTATTAAAATCTCTCCAAGTTTACATAACGAATTGTGTCTCTCAACGGCTAATTCTTGACAAACTGCAATTGCCAATTTAAGACCAGAACGAATAATATCCTCATTTCTTTCCATGTCATCAAAAATTTTACCTGTAAAATTAATTGGAAAGTACAATTAAAAACTAAAGTAATAATAGGTATAAATAAACAATTAATAGTACATTGTACAACTAGTGGCGAAAGTGTGATTTTTCGAGAGTGAAGTTTGCGGCTCGAGCGTAGCGAGAGCAGCAATCACTCGAGAAAAATCATTCTTTCACCACGAGTTGTGCACTACGTTTTCTCCAACGCCTTGCGAGGAAAGGTTTCTTCGTGAGTTTCGTTTAATTTTAATTTAAAATGTTCTTATGTTTAATATAATAAAAGACGAATATTTTGAGTGGGGAAGAAGTTAGATACAAAATAAATCTCGGTCAAAGAACAAGAAAAAAGAATAAATTCATGATTTACTTTCGCCACGCCAAATTTACTTTCGCCACGCTAAAAATTACTTTCGCCACGCTGAATTTACTTTCGCCACGCCAAATTTTACTTTCGCCACGCTCTTCAGAGCAGTTGAGAAAAGTTCTACTTTCGCCACACTTTTCTACCAAGAAAAGTACTCCTTTCAGAGCAAGTGTTGGAGAAATACAATTCTTCCTCCATGAGGGAGCAAAAATTAAAAAAATAATTTTCTTAGTATAAAAATATTTACCCAGGAAAGGTATCAATTCTTTCGTTTTAAGTGTTAATGTCAGTGATGACAAAGAACATCCATATTTTGTAATCAATTGAAGTGCTTCTAAAAATTTTTCTTTCTTTATATAATGAGAATCATCGTCGTAAGAGTTTTGGCAAAGTTTCAGTAATTCCTTCCATTGCTGTTGAGTTATATTATTTTGGTATTTAGGAATGGAAAGTATGTATGTAGACAGAGCGTAAAGATAAGTTGATTGAGCAAAAAGATATCTTGAATCGTTAAATATTTCTAGGATAAATGATATTATGTCAGACGTGTTCAAATTATTATGAGCCAACTTTACAGCTTCCAAGAGAACTTTCAACGCTTTCGTTTTATCACTGTGTGGCGATGAATCTTTTAGCTAAAAAAGAAAAGTAAACTTTAAAATTATAAAAATTCTCAATCAACAATATTATTCAGGGTTGCCACAAAAAATTAATTTTGTTTTTCCCTAACTTTTCCCTGATTTACAGACAAAATTTTCACTTTTTCCTGATTTAATCATTATTATAACATAGGCATTAAGAATTTCAAAAAATTTCAAATTCAAACCTTTATGAAATTCAACAACTTATAAGAATATTATTATAAAACATGAAGACGTCAATCACTCCGAGTCGAAGAGTCTTCATGTTTTATAAAAATTAAAATTTCCATAAAATTTTTCAAAAAAAACTTAAATTATTTTAAAAAATGTAATAAAATTCGTAGTAAGAAATACATTATTTTCATGAATTATAAAATTTTTCAGATGAATTCAATTATTTAAAAAAATGTAATAAAATTCTTCATAGGATTTCAATTATTTTTTAATACAATTTTAAATAAATTTTTTGAAAAATGTAATTATTTTCAAAAATTTTATTAAAATTCTTCGACAGAATTCAATTCTCCATCATTTTTAAAAATTCATGCCATAATACTTTTAATATTCAATTATTATTCAAAATTTTAATTGAAATTCATTTTTAAATCAATTTTCATTAGAAAATTCGACGAGAATTAAATTATTTGAATAGAAAAATAAATAATTTATTGAATAAATGAATATTTCTCAAAATTGAATTATCATTTAAAGAATTTTATCAACATAATTGAATTTATTCGATGAAATTTAATAAAATTTTCAAGAATAATTTCATTTTTCGAGGACTTCGATGAAAACTGTATTAAAATTAATTGAAATTCTATTACGAGTTTTATTATTCATGAAAATAATTGAATCTCTGTAAATAATTTCATTATTTATGAAAATACTGGAATTATTGCGAAGAAATTTATAAAAAGTTTGTAAATAGTTAAATTCCTGTAAAATTTTTATTATTTATGAAAAATTTTATTTTCAAATATAAATTTTTAAATAATTTCATAATCAAAATTTGAAAAATTCATCTATTAAGTACAAAATTAATTATTATTGTCTATATTTTCAAAAATTTTAATATAATTCTTCACAAGAATTCAATTATTTTCATATAAATAATAACATTCTTTGTAAGAATTCAATTATTTTTAAAAATAGTAGAATTTTTTGCACAATTTCAATTATTTTTAATATAATTTCACGAAAGAATTCAATTATTTTCTAAAATTTTAATAAATCCTTCTAAACAATTCAATTATTTTTTAAATAGTAAAATCTTTGACAAAATTCAATTATTTTCAATAAAATTTTTCAAAAGAATTAAATTATTTTCTAAAATCTTAATAAATCCTTCGAAACAATTCAATTATTTTTATAAATAGTAAAATTCTTTGCAGGAATTCAATTATTTTCAAAACAATTTTAATTGAATTCCTCGGATGAATTCAAATATTTTTAAATGTTTCCATAAATTTCAATGATTTCCTAAAATTTTAATAAATTCTTCGTAATAATTTAACTATTTTTATAAATACTAAAATTCTTTGCAGGAATTACATTATTTTTAATCCAATTTAACTGAAATTACACTAAAGAATTTAATTATTTTTAAAAATTTCCATAAAATTCAATTTCAAGAAGAATTTAAAATTTTCTAAAAATAATTCAATTATTCTCAAAATATTTTTAAAAATTCAATATGAAAATTAAATTACTTTCAATGCAATTTTTAAACATATTCATAAAAAAATTGAAAGAATTCAATTATTTTCCAAAAATAATAAAATTCTACTGATGAATACATTTATTTTGAAGATATGCTTAATTTTAATAAAATTCTTTACAAAAATTTAATTATTTTCGAAACAACTGTACTTGAATTTCTCGAAAGAATTTAATTATTTTCAAATATTTCTATAAAATTCTTCAAAACAATTCAATTTTTCCTTAAATTTTAATAAATTCTTCGATCATTTCAATTATTTTTATAGATAGTAAAATTCTTTGCAGAAATTCAATTCTTTTCAAACGGTTTTAATAGGATTCCTTAAAAGATTTTAATTATTTTCAAATAATTACATAAAATTCATTTAATTACTAAAATTTTAATAAATTCTTCAGAACAATTTAATTATTTTTATAAACAGTAAAATTCATCGCGAGAATTCAATTATTTTTATAAATAATAAAATTCTTCTCAGGAATTCAATTATTTTCAGTATAATTTGAATAAATTTCTTCTTCATAAAATTCAATTGCTTTCAAAATCTTCAATTAAAATTATTAAAGAAACTCCATTATTTTAAAAAAATTCAAAGAAATTCTTCAAAAGAATTTAAATAGGATTTTAAAAGTTTTTAATAAAATTCATCGCCAGGATTCAATTATTTTCATAAATAATAAATTCTTCGAAGGAATTCAATTATTGTCTTAAAATTTCTTGATAAGATTCTATGCAAGAATTCAATGATTTTCAATACATTAATTTTAAAATTGAAAATATTTAAAAAGAAAATTTTTTTAAAAAGTTAGAAAACAAAAAAGCAACAAAAAAACAGATTACCGAAATACAACGATTATTAATATAGATTATCAACTATTATTAGAAATAATAGTAATTACTTACATTCATGACAATATTATGCACTGCACCTAATATATCATTCCAAGTAATTCTATCTCCTCCATTGTTTACACTATTTTGGGTAATGTGTAACAAATCGCCTGTATTTTCCAAAAGCTCGGACAACTGTTGTACCGCTGACTAGAAAATAAAAAAACGAATTTCACTTGTCAATAAAGAACGAATTTGCATAATTGATATTTGATTGTTGCTTAATTTAAAGAATTAATTATTAAATAATATATTTAATAAATATAATTACTGAAATACATTTAATATCAAGTATGTATATTATATTCAATATGTTGTTAACCCACCTTTCTCCCAGCATTAACTTTAGAATTGGCCAATTCTATTATTCTTGACAATTTTTTTTCAGTCATTTTGATAATTTTCCTCTCCAGTTATCATTTGATTATTGTGCAATAATATTTTTCGAAACAAAACAATTTTACGGCGAAATCGGCGAAATTTTTCACAAAAGAGAAATTGTTAGGTTATATTTTTGTAGTATTTAAATCACCATTTTAAATAGCGGAAAAAGCAGGGTTGGGTTGTTGAAATTTCAAAAATTTACAGTTCTTCTGATTGGCTGTTGCTGCAATAAATAACACGTGAATGAACCTTAATGTTTTTTTGCTTCTATGTTCTAACCTCAAAAAAAATTACTGTCACACGTGTAAAAGTCCCTTTTTGTTTACAAAAGTATTTCTTTTAATTTTCACATTAAATAAAAAGTGTAAAGTTTATTAAGTATCGTGTAAAAGATAAATATGAATGCAAATGAAAATAAGAGATCGCGAAAGAATTCGAATAATTCATCAATGTTGAAGGAACGTCAACAACAAGGATCAAATTCCTTAACGAAAAAAAAATATAAAACTATGTATGATTCGGAAGAGGAGGCCAGGTTTGTGATAATTTTCTTTTATTTAGTAGAAATATTAAATTTTGCATGACTTTCTAAAATTATATTAATAACGTCTATTGAAATTTAAATGATAATTAGATTGGAAAGAGCTGTTTTCGGTGACGCGAATGATGTGATAGAAAATCTTTTGGGAGAAGATGACACTGAAAATACAGTAAAAGATGAACATAAATTGGAGACAAAAAGCCTTCAAGACAGTGATTCGGAAAATTCTAAAATTTCTGATTCGGATAATGATGATGATAATGATTACGAATCGCCGAATAAAAAACGAAAAGCCTGGGTGGACGAGGACGATAATCAATATTCGTGAGTATTAGAAAATTATTATTTCTTATACAAATATTTTATATAAATAGTTCTTTATTAAATATAAAATAGTTCTTCTTATTTTATTTTTTCCAATCGTTTACTTTAACCAATTGTATTTTTAAAGGGTCGAAGATGCTTTCCAAGCGCAAAATCGAAAGCTAAAAGAAGCAGGACAAGAAAAAAAGTACACTCAGCATTTAAATAAAAAGTTCGAGCAAATTTACGGAAAGCCCAAATGGGCTTCGCTTGATAAGAAAACAGAAGTCGACTCCGATGATTCAGATAGTGAAATTTTAAGAGTAGGTCATTTTCAACTTGAAAATAATTTTTTTGTTAATGTTTTAAAGTTAAAAACTGATTTTAAAATTATCTTTTTAGTAGATAAAAATACTATTATTAAAAATATTCTAATTATATTTCTTTTTTCAGCATAGTAATCATACGATTGTAACAAAAAGCAAAAAGTTACGAAAAGGTACAATAGAATTAAAAGCTGTGACTGATATTAATAGAAAAACTCATACAGAAGGACCTTATATATCAAGTATACAGTTTCATCCAACTTCCACGGTTTCATTAGTTGCTGGATCATCAGGAGTTCTTTCACTTTTTGAGGTAAAATATTGTCAACGAAATAGAAGCAAAATATAAAATATTTGGCAAAACATTAACGAAATATAGTAGAAAAAATGTTGTATAGATAATTTTACTAATTTAATAATTTTCCAGATCGATGGTAAAGAAAACAATAAACTACACAGTTTAAAGTTCCAAAAGTTTCCCATAAATACAGCTAGATTTTTGAAAGACGGGAGTCAAATTATTGTCGGTTCTATGAGTTTTGCCCACTGTTTCACGTACGATTTAATCAGCGGTAGTACACGTAAAGTTCCTTTACCTCACGGAATAACAAACATGAAGGTTGGTAAAAAATTAATTATTAATTATCAATTAATCGAAAATTATTAAAAAAGATCGTAGTCTAAAAAGCAATTTTCAAACGATTCCACGGTTGCCACAGGCCAGGGATTTTTATTAAATTAAAATTAAATTAAAATTGTTTTCAAAAATTTTAATAAAATTCATGGGAAAATTTCATTTATTTTCAAAAATTAATTAATTCAATGATTTTTAATATTCTAATATTTTAATAAAATTTCCCAAAAGATTTGTTATTAAATAAAAATTTTGATAAAATTCTACACAAATATTTAATTATTTTTCAAAAAAATAAAAATTTCATATGAATTCAATTATTAAAAATAGAATTTGCATAAATTTTTTTTTGAAAAAAATCAATTGTTTGAGACTTTTTTTTATAAAATTCTTCGCAATAATTCAATTATTTTCATAAATAATAAAACTCATGGCAGAATTTCAAATATTTTTAATACAATTTTAGTCGAATTCCTTGATAGAATTCAATTATTTAAAAATTTTTAATGAAATTATGTATAAGAATTTAATTTTAAGAAACATTCAATTATTCAATAAATTATCTATGTTTGTATTTAAATAATTGAATTCTCCTCCAATTTTCTAATTCTACGATTAAAATCTCTGAAAATCTGAATTTTTCATACTTTTAATTAAAAATTCTATGGAACTAATTTTCTTCAAAAAGATAAATCGAAAATTTTTAAAAATTATATCAAGTTTTTATTTACTAATGTATATTTAATTGAAGAATTCCCGAATAATCGAAATTTCATGTAAAATAGAATTATATAAACATTTGTTTACAATTTGAAAATTCTTAAGAAGAACTTTTTCAAAAATTATTAAAAATAATTGATTTACAGAAGAATTTTTTTTTAAAATTGTAGAAAATAATAATTGAATTGAAATGATGAAAATAATTTTGAAAGTGTTACTGTAATAATATTCTTATAATATAAAATACTGGTCTTATCACTCAGTCATCTTTAATTATTAAAAAAAAGGAGTGATCCATTTCGTCATGTTTCACAATAATATTTTTATCAGTTATTGAATTTAAAAACGTTTAAATTTGTAATTTTTGAAAATGGAAAAATAATGATTAAATATGTATTTGAAATTGAAGTCATTGGTGTTTTTGAATAATTTTACAATTAAGAAAATTCGGGAAATTCGTAAATAAATGTAAATAGAACATTTTTTTGAGTGTCTAATAATTGTTAGAGTGAATCATAATATTCTTTAGGGTCAGAGAAAAAGTGAAAATTTTATCTTGAAATCAGGGAAAAAGAAAATTAAATTTATGTGGCAACTCTGAATTCAATTTAATAAAATAATATTTCGAATAATTTAAACACATTTTGTTTGAAATAGAAATTTGAAGTTTCTCCTGATGGAAAATACATAGCAATTTGCGGCAGATTGGGTGACATTCAATTATTATCAAGTGTCACAAAAGAGATTATTCACACGTTCAAAATGAACAAAAAATGCAACGCCCTCGCCTTCACACCGGACAGTCAAAAATTAATCACGAACGGAGGTAAGTAAAATTCGATTAAACTTTTTTTTACATTTTACTCTTAAATAATTTTTAAAAAATTTATTTTCTATTTCAGAATGCTCCGAAATGTATGTATGGGACATGAGAAGTAATATGTGCCTTCATCGAGCGATTGATGACGGTTGCTTAAGTGCAGCTTCGATAGCAACATCGTCAAGTGGTCAATTTATAGCAACTGGCAGTAAACAGGGTGTTGTTAATATTTACGATACAAACACAGTGCTTGCAAAGGAAAATCCACAACCGTTAAAAATGATCACAAACTTAGTTACTTCTATTACAAGTTTAAAATTCAATCCAACATCGGAAATATTGGCAATTGCCTCGTCAAAAAAGAAGAATGCCTTTAAATTAGTCCATATACCATCGTTCACAGTATTTGCAAATTTTCCAACATTTCAAACAAAAATATGGAATCCATTGGCTATCGACTTTTCACCCAACAGTGGCTTTTTGGGTGTATCAAATAATCAGGGTCACGCTTATTTATACAGATTGAAGCATTACGGAAATTATTGAACATATTTTTTTGTATGTAAATAATATTATTGAAATTCAATAATTCAAAACAATGTGTACAAATTTTTTTGGAATTAAATATTTTTAAACAAAACTTTACTTTATTGCTTTAAATTCTAGGAGAAATTTAATCTCGAAATAAAATTTTTATTTTCTTAATTTTTAATTATAATTGAAATTAATTCTAGAAAAATATTTTTATATTCTTAATTTTTAATTATAATTTAAATTCTGGGAAAATCATATATCAATAAGCTAAACAGGGTTTAACTTATTTTCAATACGATTTTAATTGATTTCTTCGAAAATTTCAATTAGTTTTAAAAATCTTGTAAAAATTCTCCAAGAAAATTCAATTCCTTTAAAAAATAATTCAATTTTTCACAGGAGTTCAATTATTTTAAATACAATTTTAATAAAATTCTTCTAAAAAATTTACTTATTTTTTAAAATTTTTGCAAAAATTCAATTATTTAAAAAAGTTTTAATAAAATTATATTCAAGTATTCAATTATTCTCATAAATTATTTAATTTGTCGATTTACTGAAAATTATTGAATTCTTGTAAAGTACAAAAAAATTTGAAAATAATTTTATTCATTTCAAAAATCTTTTATCAACATTTTTTTCAACAATTGAATTTTTTCGAAAAAGTTTTATTGAAAATAATTTAATTCTTGGCAAGATTTTTATTGAAATTCTTTAAAATAATTGAATTGTTTTGAAGAATTTAATTCAATTTTCTTGAAAATAATGGAATTTTTTTTATTTTTTACTGAAAATTTTGAAAGTAATTGAATTTTATAAAGAATTTTTTTTAAGTTTTTAAAATAATCGTGTTTATTATTAATTGCAATTAATAATTTTTCTATTAAATTATATTAAAATTATTCATAGCAAATTAAATGCTTTTAAACAATATTATTAGAGTTTTTTTTAAATAATTACATTTTTTATTTGAAGAATTTCATTAAAATTCGTGAAAATAATTTAATTTTTTAAAGTAATTTTAATTGAAAATTTTGAAATTAGTTAAAATTTACAAAGAATGTTTTTTTAAATACTTTTGAGAACAATTGAATTGTATAGAAAAATTTTTATTAAAATTATCTTGAATATAATTGAATTTTTTCCTAAAAATTTTATTAAAATTGTATTGAAAATAATTGAATTTCTCGGAAGAATTTTATTATTTACAAAAATAATTGAATTCTTGCAAAGAATTTTACAATTTATAAAAATAATTGTATTGTTTCGAAGAATTTTTTGTCAGAATTGTTGAAAATAATTGTATTTTTATTAAAGCTCTTGAAAATAGTTGAAAGCCATTAAAATTATTGTTATTATATGTTATTATAATTATAAAAATTACAAATTAAATAAATTGAATAAAAATTTTATGAAATATTGAAGCGAAAGAACAAAGCTTAAGTTTGGTTAATTTCCCAACCCTGTGGACTTGTTTTCCAACTCTGCTGTTATCATTTTTAAATAACATAACCTAATGTGCTGGTTAAATCACTCAATAAAAATCTAAACAAAAAAAATTATTTTACATAAAAGATATAATAAAATTCACAATGTTTTCGTCAAAAGTTTTTCGTTTATCGACCGCCATTCGTAATTTAGCCACAAAAACAGGAGAAATCGAAAATTTAATCAAGGTAAACTGGAAAATACTCAATCATTTTTCTCTTTTTATAATAAATAAAATAAACGCCGGTAAAAAAGCTAAACTGTTATTAAAACTAACAACTATTTCCTTTAAAACTGTATTTTAATGAATTTAACTAATTTAGCACATTTTTGAACAAATTCTTCAATTGCTATATCAAATATTGTCAAATACAATATGAAATAAGAAATACACATTGAAAATTCCTATATTTCAATAAATATAAAATTTCCTACACTATTTTCAACTAATATAACAAATATTTCTTTAAACAGCATAACAAAGTAGTGGTTTTTATGAAAGGAATACCAGAAGCACCAAAATGTGGTTTCAGCAATGCTGTAGTGCAAATTTTACGAATGCATGGAGTAAAATACGATGCTCATGATGTTCTCGAAGACGAAGATCTTAGACAAGGTAAATTTCATCTCCTATTACTTTTCCCATTCACTTTAAGATTGATTCTAACTAGCAATAAAAATTTGACAAACGTAGATAACGATAATTTCTTTCTACGAAGAATTTTACCTATTTCCATCTACTGACACTGTTCTTCTAATATTTTTAAACCTAATTAATTTTTCTCCTCGTTTTAGAAATCAAGACATTTTCAAATTGGCCAACGATACCTCAAGTATTTATAAATGGAGAATTCGTCGGTGGATGTGATATTCTACTTCAAATGCATCAGAATGGCGAATTAGTGGAACAATTGAAAAAAGTAGGAATAACTAGTGAACTTTTAAATAAGGAAAACTTAGATGGTAATAAATCTAAAGAGTAATATTATGTCTAGGACGTTGTTAAAAAAAAGGAACCACTTGTGTTATAGTTTAGTCTTTTGTTATAATAAAACTATAAATGTTGCCTGAATTTTCAGAAAAATTTATCTCTCTACAAATGCTTTAAATTAACAGCAATATACCTAAAATTCTACAAAGAAGTCACCATATAAAAATCATTACAAAAATATTGATTGTAGAATAAACAAACTATTCCCTGGAATACTTAATTCGATTCGGTTAAAAATAAGTTCGATTACAATTAAAATATAGACCTAAAACTATACGTAAAAAATAGATATAAAAATAGATGCAAAATATTTTAAAGTAGATAAAAAAAATATTTAAAAATAGATACAAAGTAAAAAAAAATAGATTAAAAGTAAAAAATAGATCGAAAATAAAAAAAATAGATTAAAAGTAAAAAATAGATCAAAAGTAAAAAACAACAAAATTAAAAAATAGATCAAAATAAAAAAATTGATAAAAAATTAAAAAATTGATGAAAAATTAAAAAAAATAGATAAAAAATAGAGAAAAATTAAAAAATATAAAAAATAGATTCAAAGAATCACTGCAATTTTACACAGTGTAGATTAAAAAGTCGCAAACTAAAATTATGCGCCAGATTAAGATTATAATCATTTCTCTTCGATCTGCAATGTCGAAAGTTGTTGCGGAACTGCTTCAAAAGATCTGAGCGAAATTGCTGCCGCTTTAAGCCCCAGTGAAATACACTCGGCTTCACTGAATTTATTCAAAATTCCCACAATTATTCCAGCGGCGAGACAATCTCCACAACCACTGACACTACTTTGATGAACTTCGGGAATATTATCCAATTGTAAATGAGGTTTATATAAACGAGACTGAATATCCTCATCATAAATTAATTCGCCCCTTTCATCATAAAATGCACGATTTCCTGCAGCTTTTCGACTGACCTACATTTGAATTTTAATTATTGAATTTACAACGAAAATATCGTTGAATATTTATTTAAAAATAAATAATATTCTTATAATTATTATAATTAATTTATTGAAATTAATAAATTATTATTAATATATTATAATATATTATGATTAATATAATTAGATATTGATAGCATAGATGAATAAAATAGAATATTATTTACTTTTAAATAAATAATATAATCGCAATGAACCTAATTATAATCGATTGCAAATCTCACCATAACTCCAAGTGATCCTAAAGTAGTGATTACAACTGGAACAATTTTCGCTAAATTTTCTGCCACATGTTTTACTGCCTCATATGTCTTAAATTCATCGTTTGGAATTGGAATTCCAAAATATTTCGCTATCGCTAAAAGTTCATTTCTATTTGGAGAAATAAAATGTAAAGTTTTTTCCCATTGAGATCCGGCTTGAAATATTTTTATCGCTTTTTGAAAGTCTGTGGGTTCGTACCAGACTAAAAGGAAAAATGTGTAATGTAAACAAAACGCTTTACATAAATTATCAAAAATCAATATCACACTATTCAAAACTTTTTCGATAATTCTTCTACGAAAAGAATTTATTTTTCGAGAATTTAAATAAAATAAATCATAAAACTAGACAAATAGTATAGTTTTAAAATAACAGGGTTGCCACAATAATTTGATTTCGCTTTTCCGTTATTTTCAGAAAGAATTTTTATTTTTTCTGATATTCTATCAAAAAAGAATGCAAAATAGTTTCAATTATAAAGAAAATATAATTTTTAGATGCAAGAATTTAATTAAAAATTTTAAGAGTCCCTACCTATTTTAAAAATAAAATTATTAACTGTGTCAATCTTCCCTAGATTATTTTCTAAAATTGCAGTAAAATTATCAACGAATTCAATTCATTTATTTTAAGTTAATTATTTAATCGATTTGTTCGAAATTCAAATTATTCAAAAAAAATTTCAGTTGCTGAAAAAACTTCAATTTCTTAGAAAAGTTCAAAATTTTTGAAAAAAACAAAACTAAAACATTTAAAAACCTAATTTTTACCATTTTTAATATAAGTTTTCTACACTCCAGCTTTAAAAAAAAATTCTAATTGAAATCTTTTTAAAATAACTAATTAAAATCTTAAGTTTAAAATCTTTCAAAATTAAATTATTTTAGATGCAATTTAGACTTTTTTTCAAATAAATATATTTAATAATTATTACTAATTTTTTTACACACCAATCATAAATTTTAGTTTAAAACCTAATGAAATTTAATTATATCTGAAAATTACAACTGTTTGTAACTAAAATATTTTCTGAGTTAATTATATTTTAATTAATAAACTTTAAAAAAAGTCACTCTAGAATTTAATTATTTACAGAAATAAATAATAAATCTATTTTTAAAATTCATTGTAATTCAAAAATTTGAAAGGTGAAAAAAAATTCAGCAAGAATTCAAGTTTTTAAGTTTCTCTAAAATGTTTTTAAACAAAAACCATAGATTTTTTGTTGAAATGAATTCAATTCATTTTCCCCGTCTTTCCTGACCTGTGGCAACCCTGAATAAAAAATATAGAAAATTAGTAAAAATTAGAATTTAAAAAATCAGAATATTCAAAAATAGCATTAATTTCATAATTTTGTTGTAATTTATTATTATACAATTTTCTACGCGCAACGTAAAAAGAATAACGTCTTCAATGTAAATTTATGTCTAGCGTAAAAAGTGTAACGCTTCGGTAAATTTATTTCTAACGTATAAAGTTTCCCAACTCTGACACTGGATATGAATCAGCTTTACTCCAAAAGTGCATTGATATAGTAACTAGGTAACTGCATGAAAGCATTGTTTGTCGACTGTTTATTGTTATTATTCAATTGAAAACATTGAAACAAAATTGTTTCAATTTTATTTTTAATATCAAAAAATAGTGAAGTGATAAAATGGGAAAGACACGCACTGGAAAAGTGGCCATTGGCCTCACAATGGTTGGATTTATTTTTGTACTCATTGCTTTTACCACACCCAACTGGCTACAAACAGACGGAAAATTAGATAGTCCCAAGTTTCGAAAAATTGGTAATTATTAATATTTTTTCACTCTTCTAATTATTATTAATCAATTTAGTTTTACATCTTATCAACGATAGTTTTCTTTTTCGCCAAAATTTAATGCCTTTTGTAATTTTTAAACCTCTGTTGGTAACAGTTTTTATTTTATTTTAATATCTTCTATTATTTTCAATAATAATATTGGGTGTTAATATCCATAATATTAATTAACGAAGAAGCCATTAAATAATCGGGACAAAGTTAATAAAATTCTAAAAGTTATAATCCATTATTTCGAATTTTAATTTTAAATAAAGAAAAACAAATCTTTAAATTACTTTTGATAGAAGCGTGAAAAATTTAATTTTCAACATTTTAAACAATTTAAACGTTAGCGAAATTAACATTTATAATTATAATCAACAATTTAAAAGAAACATTTTTTCCTGTTAAAATTTCTATAAATTTTTGTTTTCAAATGTTTTGTATTTTTTCTTGATGAATAATTTAAATAATAATATATTTTTCAAAGCAAATTTTTATAAAATGTGTTATAAAAACGTATTTCAACGTTCTTTGAAGAATTTTTTAAAGAAAACAAGTTTATTATTTTCTTTCTGAAAAATTATTTTTTTAAATCATTGATCATAATTTAAACGTTATGAACTTCACCTACGTAATATAATAATATAATAAAAAGAAAAAATTATAAAGAAAACATTTTTTTCTCCCCCTGTAAAATATTTTTTTTAACTCAATCATTGATCATAAACGTTGTGAAATTCACTTCATCAATTAACAGTTGCATTTGTACTTAAAAATAAACTCTTCTAATAAAAATTTTAAATAAAATGTAAATATAAAATAAAATTAAATTAAATTAGATAAATGACAATAAAATTTAGAAATTGTCGACATATAGATAAAATTAATTTATATTAAAATATTTTATTAATTTTAACATTAACTTTTGGCAGAAACAGTCGAGATTAAATAAAAAATTTTTATTTAATTTTAAAGTAATACAGTAGAACCTCGATTATCCGAGGTAATGTGGGGAAGAGGTACCTCGGATAATCGAAAACTCGGATAACACGGAACCAATGAAAATTTCAAAATTTAAAATTATTTTTCATGTGTTTAAAGTGTTAGAATAATATTAAATGACAAAAATGGACGAAATTTTAAATGCAATGATCACAAATAGTGGTTTTGTAAAATTTATTTTCCAAATTTAGTCGCTCGATCCGTTTTATCCGAGTTATTCCGCATTATCCGAGCATGTTTTGTGCCTCGGATAATCCGGAATCTCGGATAATCGAGGCTCGGATAACCGAGGTTCTACTGTAATAAAAAAAGTAAATAATGATGGTTGCCATTGGTCAGGGAGAAGTCACGAAATTTTGTCCAAACTACTGTAAAAATATAAAATTTGTAGAATTCACAAAAAATTATGGTTTTTGACCAGAAACCTTTGAAAAATATTAAAAATATTTTAACCTTGAACTTTTTTTTGTTCACTTTATGAACTTTAAAAAATCGCCACGAATGTTAATAAAAAACCTAAATTTTTTCCATTTCTATCAATAATTAAACTTTACAGAATATGAAATTGAATTTATTTTCTATAATTCTATCAAATACTAAATTAAAATTTAGTAAAATTGAATTGTAAACTTATTAAGTACAAAATTAATTATTACTGTTGATATTTTCAAAAATTTTAATAAAATTTCACGAAAGAATGCAATTATATTCTAAAATTTTAATAAATCCTTCTAAACAATTCTATCATTTTTTTAATATTAAAATCATTACAAAAATTCAATTATTTTCAAAACAATTTTAATTGAATTCCTCGGATGAATTCAAATATTTTTAAATATTTTCATAAATTTCATTTATTTCCTAAAATTTTAATAAATTCTTCGTAATAATTTAACTATTTTTATAAATACTAAAATTCTTTGCAGGAATTAAATTATTTTTAATCCAATTTAAATACAATTACGCGAAAGAATTAAATTCTTTTCAAAAATTTCCATAAAATTCAATTTCAACAAGAATTTAAAATTCTCTAAAAATAATTCAATTATTCTCAAAATATTTTTAAAAAATTGGATAAAAAATAAAATTACTTTCAATGCAATTTTTAATTATATTCGTCAAAAAAATTGAAAGAATTCAATTATTTTCAAAAAATAATAAAATTCTTTTGATGAATTAAATTATTTTGAATATACTTAATTTTAATAAAATTCTTTATAGAAATTCAATTATTTTCGAAGCAACTTTAATTGAATTTCTCGAAAAAATTTCATTATTTTTAAATATTTCTATAAAATTCTTCATAACAATTTAATTTCTTAAAATTTTAATAAATTCTTCGAAACATTTCAATTATTTTTATAAATAGTAAAATTCTTCGCAATAATTCTATTATTTTTATAAATAGTAAAATCCTTTGCAGAAATTCAATTCTTTTCAAAACAATTTTAATAGAATTCCTCGAAAGAATTTAAATTTTCAAATATTAACATAAAATTAATTTATTTTCTAGAATTTTAATAAATTCTTCGGAACTTTTCAATTATTTTTATAAATAGTAAAATTCTTCGCAAGAATTCAATTATTTTCAATTCACTTTTAATAAAATTTTTCTTCATAAAATTCAATTGCTTTCAAAATTTTCAATTAAAATTATTAAAGAAACTCCATTAGTTTAAAAGAAATTCTTCAAAAGAATTTAATTACGATTTTTAAAAATTTTAATAAAATTCTTTGCGAGAATTCAGTTATTTTCCTAAATAATAAAATTCCTTGAAGGAATTCTATTATTATTAAATTTTTTGATAAAATTCTTTGCAACAATTTGATGATTTTCAATACATGAATTTTAAAATTGAAAATATTTGAAAAGAAAAATTACCTACAATAAAAAAGTTAAGAAACAAAAAAAGCAAACAACTTCAAATAATTTTACAATTATTTTTTTTGTGTATATTCATTTTTTAAAATTTTTTTAGAGTGAATCAGAATATTCTTTAGGGTCAGGGAAAAAAAGTCAATTCTGTCTAGAAATCAGGGAGTTTTTTTTTTCTAAATTCTAAAAATATTCCCGTTATTTCCAGGACTTTGGCAAGTATGCTTCGAAGACTTCATGGACACTCAACACCTGTACGATACAAAATTCAACAATTGTTGGTGGGTTTTCGAAGAAGAATACTACATATTACATGACATTCTCCTACCAAGATTTTTCGTGGCCACACAATTTATGTTCACCCTATGCTTCACACTACTTTTAATTGGAATTTTCCTAACGGCACTGTACGGTTGCTGTTCACGACAACAACAAAAATATCAATTGCTCTTATGGACAAACGGAACGATATTAACTTTATCCGGATGCGCTGGAATTATATCAGTATTAATTTTCGGATGTCGTGGCGATTATCGCGATTGGATGCCAAATTGGCAGCACAATGACATTGGTTGGTCATATGCCGTGGGAGTTGTTGGCAGTTTTATTGTTTTAACTGCAGGAATTCTCTTTCTCGTCGAGGGTCGACGACACAGGAGAAAACTCGACAGAATGTACAACGAAGATCAAAAGACACACACAACTATATAAATTTTATAATCGACAGTATTTTTGTCCCATTTTATTTATCAACGCAATCTAAGAGGCGTTAAAAATTTTTACCATCACCAATCAGGGTGATTTTTAACAAATTTCTTTTATTCAATCAAAGCTTGGAACATTTACAATTTTTTTGTCTATTTATTTATTGAAGAACAATCAATTAAATTAAATATTTGTTTTTTTGATAATTTTTTTATAATTACAATATGTACGTGCTTCCATATAATTATTTTTTCTATGGAAATAAATATTTGTCGTCAGTGATCGGAATTTAGAAAATAGTTTCAAGCTTTGACAAAATTTAGAAAAAAAAATATAATTATACAAACTATTGTTTGTATGCATTTTTTTAATGTCAAGAATTTAATAGAAGCACAAATTATGACTTTTTTTTATAAAAATTAATTATTAATTAATTCCAGGCCTCGGATATGACTTTTTCGAACTTTTCTTCCAAATATTGCAACAAAATACAAAATAACTATAGACAAATCTTTTAAAAATTATTTTTGAATAATTTAATTGAAAATAATTGATTTCTTTCAAGTATTTTATTAAAATTTTTAAAAATCAATTTTTGAAGAATTTTGTTTGCAAATTCTTGAAAATACATATAATATACAAAAATTCTTTTCAGAAATTCCGTGGCCTGTAATTCTAAACTATTAGAAAATTAGATCTGATTTGTCAAAAAATGTTCGTTTTGTTTATTTTAATAGATCTTATTGTGCACAATACTCAAATTAATTATAGTACAAGGTAGAATTTCGAATGAAATATTGAAATTTATTTCAATTACAGAATTACACACTTGCACTCTGAGTAGTGCTTTTACTATTGTACTTGTCAATATGATCTGCATAGATTTTAAATCGAACAATTATTGAAACAATAATAAAAATGTAATTTTTAAAGTTGTAATCGACATTTAATGAAGAAAAAAAAATGTATTAATATAGGAATGCCTGATACGAATGTAATCCGTCCAGTTTAGATAGTGTTTATATATTGTTTACAAAGCATGAATTTACAGAGAATGCATATGTAAATATAATTTAGCCTAAGTGAAGTGCCTTTAAGTAGTGATGATTGTACTTTTTTAAATAAAATCATTTATTGAACATTATTATTTAACTTATCCATTTTTTTTCTGTTAAATATTAACGTTTAATAAAGAAAAATTAATATTTATCGAAACAATGTTATATAAACTCCCTCCAATTAATATAATATTTTGTTTCAACTAAAAAGATTTTACGTTTGTACTAAAAGCAAGAAAAAGAATTCTAATAAAGATATTTATTCAAAATTTCTTTAAAATCTTTACTTTATTCAAAAATATTCTCTTCTTTTAAAATCAGGGTTGCCACAAAAATTTGATTTTGATTTTCTTTGACGTTTTTCTGATTTCCAGAAAGAATTTTGTCTTATTCCCTGATCCTGATTATTCAAAAATGCAATAGTCTTTTTAAAATAAATATTTAATTATTATTATAAAGGAATGAAGAATTTCAAAATTTCCACTTTCAAAATTTTTAAAATTCAGTAATTTATCAAAAATTGCTCTTGTAACTTGTTTAAAATTAATTTCAAGATTTGAATTCAATTATTTTTCAGAATTTTTAACTAAAATTCTTCTCCGAATAACTTATTTTTTAATAATTTTTGTGAATGTTCTTTGAAAATTTTTCAATATTGTAAATACAAAAATTGAACTAATTTCAAAAGAATTTAGATAGAAATTTTTTAATAAAAACTAACTTCTTCAGAATTTTTGCTTTAAATTATTTAAAATTCAAGTTTTCTAAAATTCCAATTTGAAACCTTTTAAAATTCAATTATTTTAATATTCCAATTAAAAATTGTAAAAAAGAAATTGAATGTAAATTCTACTGCAAATTCTTGAAAATTATTTTTAAGATTTAAATTCAATTTTTTTAAAATTTTTAACTAAAACTCTTCTCTGAATCAACTATATTTTAAAATTTTTTGATAAAGTTCATTGAGAATTCAATTATTATTCAAAGAAAGAAAAAAAGTTCTCACCTAAAATATTTCTAAAATCCAGTTCTTTACAATTCAATTTTACGAAAATTTCATTTATTCGAAAATTTGTCAATTAAATATTGTATATTCAAAAAAATTTTAATTAAAACTATTCGAAATATCTACAAATTTTAAAAAATTTTAATTTAAAATCTCATAGGATTATTTTTAGAAATTTCTACATTCAATTATTTTCTGGAACTTTTAACTAAAATTCTTCACTAAATCAATTATTTTTAATATTTTTCAAAAAAGTTCTTTGACAATTTCATTATTCTCCAAATAAAAAAGAAAGTTCACTTAAATACGTCTGAAAATCACATATTTTCAATTCAATTTTACAAAAATTCGATTATTCGGAAAGTTTTCAATTTTTATAATTTAACTAATTTAAAAAAAATTGTTGAATAAAAATTTTACAAATATCAAACTTTCTTAGAATTATAAACTAAAATTATTTAAAATACAAATTTTCCAACATTTCAATTTGAAACCTTTTGAAATTCAATTCTTTTTGGACTTTTTAATCAAAATTAGTTGCTAAATTATTTATAAGTTACAATTTTATGACAGTTATTCAATAATTAAATTATTTAAAGTAAATTATTGTCTCAAATAGAAAAAAATTTAAGGCAGGGCTCTGATCGTCTTTAAGACTCAAAAAATGTCGCTTTAGTCGCATAAATTTATAACAAAAGTCACGAAAAGTCGCATGAAAATTTAGAAAAAACGACAAAAAAGAAACACGAAATTGTAAAAATTGTAAAAAAATTGTTTAAAAAAATCACATTTTGACAACACACACTTCAATTTCAAACAATCCGGAATACAATTTTAATAAAATTCTTAGCAAAATTTTAATTAGGTATTTTAAAAACTTTTTTTTAATTTCTTTTAAAAATGTCAATTATTTTTATAAATAATAAAATTCTTCTCCGAAAATCAATTATTTTAAAAAAATTGTAGTAAAATTCTTGTCAAAATTTTAATTATCTTTATAAATAATAAAATTCATTCTTAGAAATTAAATTATTTTCCAAAGTAATAAAATTCTTCGCAGAAATAATTTCAAAAATTTTTTTAAATTTCTCGTCGAAATTTTAATTATCTTCATAAATAATAAAATTCATCCTGGAAATTCAATTATTTTCAAAAGTTCTGATAAAATTCTTTGCAAAATTCAATTATCTTCGAAAGTAATAAAATTCTTCGCAGAAATTCAATTATTTTCAAAATTTTTTTTTAAATTCTCGTCAAAATTTCAATTCTCTTTATAAATATCAAAATTCTTCTCCAAATTCAAATACTTTTAAAATTTTTTTTAAAAATTTGTTCAAAATTTCAATTATTTTTATAAATAATAAAATTCTTCTTTGAAATTCAATTATTTGTAAAAATCTTAATAAAATTGTACGCAAACATTTAATTATTTTCATAAATAATAAAAAATTTCACAGGAATTCAATTACTTACTAATTTTTTTATAAATTTCTTTGTAATAATTCAATTATTTTCATAAAAAATAATTTAAAAAATTTTTTTTTTATATAAAGTCTTATAATATAAAATTATTATTTTATCACTCGGTCATCTTTAATTATCATAAAACATGAAGACATCGATTGCTCCGAGTTGAAGACTCGGAGTGATCGATTTCTTCATGTTTTATAACAATTTTTTATAAGTTGTTTAATTTCAAAAAGGTTTGATTTTTCATGTTTTAAAAATCTTAATTCCTATGGAAAAATAATTATAATTAAATATTTATTTAAAAAAGAAGTTATTGATGTTTTCGAAAAATTTTAAAAGTTTCAATTTCATTCTCAATTAAAATTTCTAATTGACAAATAGAATTTATAAACATTTTTTTTTTCATTTATTTTTAAAAAACTTTAAATTTTATTAAAGCAATTGTAATTAAGAAATAGAAATGATGCATATTATTTCCTTATGAAAATTGAGAATTCCCTACAAAAATATTAAGAAACGGGAATATGTTATGTTTTTTTCCCCCTAAAGAGAAGAATGATTTTGTGAACAATATTGTTTAGAAAAAAATATTTCTGCTATTTAAAATTTAAGTCGAAAAGTAATTGAAAAATGTGAAAAAAGTCGATTAGTCACATTTTACTAAAAAAAATCTCGAAAAAGTCGAAAAAAGTCATTTTTAATTATTTTCCATTTTTTTTTTCAGTGAAACTATGCAAAAGAACCAGAAATGATTTTTGTCATGACTAAATCTAGTTCACATATTATTAAATGCAAATGAAATAACAGCGAGAATGTTGTCATAATGTAATCATTAACCACATGGTTGAATCATTCTTTAAACGCGTATAATGAATAAACCTGTAAGAAGAACCTTCACAAAAGTAAGGTATACTTTTATTTATTATTTCTTTTTTTTTTGTAACTTGCATTGTCATAATTAATCTATTCGCTTCTAGTGAGTACACTATTAACTAGACGCCCTGAGTAATTCAGATATATATAACACTTAATAGTGATATACGGTAATACTAATTTATGAGTAATACGATGTCCTATTATCAAACACGTGAAAGAATAATTTAAAATCATTTATGATCTACACCACAAGAGTTCGACATTGAAATTACAAAAGCCTATATATGTACATTATGTCTGAAGTTCATTCAATGCCAAATTCTTAAAAACATTTTTTTAATAATTATATGAATTTGAATGAATGAGGGTCAGGCATTTCTTACTCTCGTGAACAGAAATAACATGAAAAAAAGGATTTACTTGTTTATAAAAAAATTTTGTGTGAGAGTTTATTAAATTTTCTTACCTAATCCCACGATAATGGGTATAATTATTAAAAATGCGAGAGTTTATCTTTTTAGTTCATAAAACTTACAATTAACGAAATATTTTGTTGAGAAGAAATTTTAGATCTGTAATCATTTTTATTTACTACTTAATTTATTAAATTAATTATTTCATTTTTCTTTATTCGCCTATATCACTGATCAGTTTCTTCTTTCTTTCTTAAATTTTTTTTTATTTTCTTTCTTTTTTAATAATAATAATAATTTAATTTTACAATGCAAAATAATTATTAACTTCTAATACTGTTTGCAGATTCAGAAAGAAATGAAAAATTTCAATTACTTTTAGTCATTTCAATTTGAAAAACAATTTGAAATATCTGAGGGAAATTGAAATTTTTATCAGTCTTTTTGCTGAAAAAATCTACTATTTAATTTATTAAATTAATATATAACTGGCAATTGTTACGCGCGCCAGAGCGAAAAATGAAGAATTCAATTTATTAATTTCATACAAATTACAAAATTTATGAACTTTTTAATATCAATTTCAATTTTTTTGTATAATCATTTTTAGAGTGAATCAAAATATTCCTTTGGGTCAGGGGAAAAAAGACAAAATTCAGTTTAGAAATTAGGGAAAGTCAAGAAAAAATAAAAAAAAAAATGTTTGCGGCAACTCTGACTATAAAAATTATCCAATCAATTTCAATTTTTGAATAATTTGAGATTAAAAGCTTTAAAAAATTCACTTATTAACTAATTATTATTTTTTTGAAAAAAATTTAATAAAATTAGTTTCCAGAATTAAATTATTTTTATAAATAGTAAAAATCTTTGCAAGAATTCAATTGTTTTCAAAAATTTTAAAGAAATTCAATTATTTTCAAAAATTTTAAAGAAATTTTTCCCAAAAATTCAATTATTTTCATAAATAATCAATTCTTTGCGGGAATTCAATTATTTTCAATACATTTTTACCAAATTTCTTCTCAGAAATTCAATTATTATCAAAAATTTGTTTATAAGAATTAAATTATTTTTAATATTTTTAATATAATTTCAACTAAATTCATGGAAATAATTCAATAATTTTGAAAAATAATAAAATTCTTCGAAATAATTCAATTTTTCAAAAATTTTTCAGAAATTTTTCGCAAGAATTAACTTATTATCATGAATAATATAAAATTCTTCGCAGATATTCAATTATTTTCAAGAATTTTAATAAAATTCTTCGAAAGATTTCAATTATTGTCCAAAATTAATAAAAAATTGTTACTAATTTTTTGTATAAGAATTCAATTATTTTCAATATAATTATAATCATAATTAAATTCATCGGAAGAATTCAATTATTTTCAATCATTTTCAATACAATTTTAATAAAATTTCTCGAAAGAATTAAAATATTTTCAAATGTTTCGATAATATTTAATAAATTTTTGTTATTATTTAAAATAAAAACATTTAAAAAGAAAAATATTTATCAAAAAAGTTGGGATTGTTTGCTTTTTATTTCCTAATTGTTTTAACAATTATTTTTCTTTTTAAATATTTTGAATTTTTTAAATGAATGAAACTCTAATTTAATGGTTTGAAGATTAAATTAATATAACAAACAAAATTCTTTTGAAAGAGTTCAATTTTTAAAAATTGTAATTAAAATTTTCGCAGAAATTAAATTATTTTTAAAAATTTTAATAAAATTCATGGAAAGAATTTAATTATTTTCCAAAACTTGTTTTTAAAAATTCAATTATTTCCAATGCCATTGCAATCAAAATCCTCGAAATAATTTAATTTAAGTTCTTATGTTAATTTCATTTTATTATGTAAAATAATTATTAACTTCAAATATTATTTATAGATTCAGAAAAAAACAATTAGTTAATTAAATTAAATAAAACAATTAAATAACAAAAAGCAATTACCATATCAGTAATTTTAATTTGTCTCTTAGTATATTGAGAAACAACTTAAAATATCAGCGAGTAATTGCAATTTTTATTAACTGCCAAAAAAAATTTTTATTTTCGTTCATTTCCAAATCCAAAACATTTTGAAGTTCAAGTACAAACTTAAAACCATAATTTTACAGAATTTATCTGAATTTAATTTTAATTTCAGAGAATCTTCCTGATATTTCGCAACTATTAATTTTAATTTATTCAAAAGTTATTCTACTCTGAGATGTTTTAAATATCAAGATGATCAAAAGTATCTAATTCAGGAAGATCTCAGCCTATTTCGAAATAATTCAAAATCCTTCAAGAAATTCAGGAAATCAAATTCAGAAGATGGAAACTGGAAATTTCTAATAAATCAGAAATTCAGAATCAATTAATCCAGAAAATTTTAAGAGCTACTCCAAAATTGTAACTACTTGCGAAGTAAGAAATTTCGGAGCAATCCAAAAGAAAATCTTTGCAAAAACCATTTCTGCACAAAATACTATTCCAATTCACATCCAACATTACATAAGCCTTCTAATTAACGATCTCTTCCTTATTTTCTAAAATACTCAATTCAAGACATGTAAACCCATGCAAACATCAAGTTTTGTCGTAAGTCGTCACAATGCCCCTTATTTTCTGCATAACTTGCTCATAACTCGTACAACGAACAATGATCATCTTGTTTGTATTTGTAAACGAGCGAGAGAGCGCGAACTCTACGAAAGAAACATAATGGCCCTGGGTTTGTATCCTGTAAAAATATATTGTTGTATTTATGAAAGAGTGAGAGAGAGAGTGATGGTAAAATGCTTAAAACGTTGAACGTTGCTCATATATATGATTAGGTTAGGTTAGGTAACTTTTGACTCGTTGAGTGTGTCAGCAGTGTACTACATGGTCGCTTCATGACAACATAGCCTCCTCTCCTGGGTGTGGTTCACGTGGGATTTTCTTCTATTCATAATAGTCACACACCATTCAGTTCTTGTTCTATTGACAATTTCAATTTTTTTTTCATGGTTTCAAATTTTGTCTCACAAAAATCATTTAAAATGAAAAAGAGAAGTTTATCGGGAAATATTGGAATTGGAGTTTTTATTGTTGGTTTAGTGTGTGTTTGCACTGCATTTTGTACATCTGCATGGTTAGTCAGTGACTATAGAATCACAGGCGCGAAACTCAATCAATTAGGACTTTGGAGGCATTGTTTTCGTTCATTACCAAATCCAATTGAACCAGATGCATTAAAACGATTTTTCGTCGGATGCAGATGGATTTATGATCCATTTACTGCTGGTTACTCCGAAATTCGAGGATTTTTGTTACCACGTAAGTCTATTGGAATTTTCTGATAACAAAAAAAAAATTATTAATTATATTCTTTCTGGAAAATTAAATATAACGAAATCAATGAAGTTTCTAATTCCAGGGATTATAGATCTTCACCTTTTTTTTTATTTTGGCACCTATTTTGTCAATTTTACCTATTTAACCTATTTTGTAAATTTTTTAAACATTTCCAATCAAAACCAGTTTCTTAAAATCATTTAATTAATTAATGCTTTTGAATAAATCTTCATTTTGTTAAAACTTTCTTGGATTGGAATCTTAATTGATTCTGAATTTAAATCGTAAAGATTTTTTAACTTTTGCATTCTAAAATCCACATTAAGCTCAAATTCAATTGATCTGAATTTCAATTTATCTGAACTTTAGACAATATAAATTTTAAATGTTTATTTCAATCAATTTCAAATTTAATCGTTTGAAACTTCAATTTGTGTAATTTTTTCTTTGTTAATTAAAAATACGAAAAAAATTGTTTATTTTATTCGCAATTGTCAAAAATATTTTATTTTATATTTTTCTTAGCTTTCACTGATTCCTAAATTCAATTATTCAAAACTTTAATAATTTTGTAAAATAATTATTTGTCATCTATTTTTTCACACGGATTAAAATTTTTAAATTTTCAATATCAAACCTTCTAAAATTGAATTATTTCTAAAAATTAAAACTATTTAACCATTTCAAAATTTAATTATTTTCCTTAATTTTTAACTAAACTTCTTCTCTAAATCAATTGCTTTTAATAATTTTTCGAAAGTTTTTCGGCAATTCAATTTTTTATACATAATATTTGTAACTGTTACTCTTTACCTATCGTTTTTTTGAAGTTATTAAGATAACAAAAAATATTCAAAATAATTGATTTTAAGAAAGTATGATAAACAAAAATTCAAAAATTAGTTTTTTAAAAATATTTTTGGATAATTTTTGAAAAATTTCCAAATAATTGATATTTTGTGGAATTTTTTGAAAATAATTAAATTTAATAAAAGAATTTTTGGAAAATATTACAAAATGAAGAGTTTTAATTACAAATACGAAAAAATACATGAATTCTACAAAATTTTATTAATATTTCTAAAAACTTGGATTTTTAATGAAATTTTAATGTATTTTTTTGTAAATATTTGAATGTTTGCAAATATGTAATTGAAAATATTAAAATAATTGAGATTTAAAATATTACAATAAAAAAAAATTCTAAGCATTACATTCTAAAAATAATTTAGTATTTTTTGAATCTAATTTTCATTTGGAGATTTTTCATCAAATTTGTTAAGAATTAAATTATTGTCAAATTAGTACAATCTAAATTCTTCAAAATTTAATTTAATCTCATTTTTCAATATTTTTAAATATTAAAAATCTATCAATATTTTCAACTGTTAATCAAATTCTTCCAAGACTCCAAATTTGAAAACTATTAATTTTTTACATTTATATTTTTATATTTCTGTACCTAAATTTTTTACAACACCGAATAATTTCCTTTTTTTTTTGAAAATCATACGAAATCATTTTCTACAAAAGAATATTCTCGTCTGATGAAAAGTTATCTACTTTCGTCCTCTATTTGATTTTCAAAAGAATAAAATTTCTCGAAACAACAAAAAGCACTAATTAAATAAGTTACTTGATAAAATTTTAATTAATGTAGATTTGAAAAGCGACTGTTGAATGTTTTATAATTTCATTTTAATTGGTTTTCATTTTTCTAATTTCCTCTTTAATTGTAAATTTATACTTTAATCATTTCACTATTTTTCAAATAAAAGTTAGCACTTCAAAATTTTCTTAATTAAATTAAAGAAAAATTGAATAAAAAAATTAGACGATACATTTTTTTCCATCGATTAAATTATAATAAAAAATCCATTTCACTGCTTTTGAATAAAAAAATCCTTCAAAATTTAAACGACAGGAAAAATATATTCTTTTCCTTCATTTAATTAAATTAAAATTGAACAAAAAAAAATAAAATCAATACATATTTCCATCTATTAAATTTTATTAAAAAATCATTTCACTATTTTTGAATCAAAGATCTTTTAAAATTTAATCGATGGGAAAAAATGTATATTGATTTCTTTTTTTATTCAATTTTTATTTGATTTATTATTTGTTTTTTGTTGTAGACCATATTAAAAATATTTCATTAATCTAATTAATAATCTAACAATTCCTTCAAAATTAAATTAAATAAAAATTGAATAAAAAAATGAAAACAATACTTTCTTTTCTATCGATTAAATTTTAGTTATAAATCATTTGACTCTTTTTCAAACAAAAGATCCTTCAAAAGTCTTTTTAATTAAATATTAAATAAAAATTATAATTAGATGTGATTTTAGTTTCGACTAAATAAATAATAATAAATTTAAACTAAATTAAATAAAAATTGAAAAAACAAATGAAAACAATGAATTTGAGTAAAAAATGAGTTAAATAGTTCATTGCTCATAATCGCAGACTTGATAATAGCAAATATAATCTGATTAAACTTTTTTCCCCTATCTAATTTGTCCTTCTTTTTGTTTCAGCATTCATGGTAGTAACACAGGTGTTTTTTACTCTCTGTTTTGTATCGTGCTTTGTTGCATTTTGTCTCATTTTACTATTCGGATTGTGCAGTTATCCAGAACAAAAACGTTACGTCGATTTAATTTTATTAATTGGATTAATATTATTAGTTGGAGGTGTTTCTGGAGTATTGGCAGTCATTGTTTTTGGCAGTCTTGGAAATGGAGACGGTTGGATGCCAGGTCATGAGACAAATTATTTTGGATGGTCATTTGTTTTGGCTGCTATTGGCGTAATACTCATTCTAATTGCCGGATTACTTTTCATTATCGAAGGAAATATACAACGAAAGAAACGCAATTATTTACGAGAATCTCAAACCAGATTTCAATTGGAGTCGAAATCTTAAGAAGAAGAATTACGAAATCAAATGACAAAGATTCGAACAATTTTTTTTTTGAGAGAAAAATGAAAGAGTCAAAATAAATATTTTTTTTGCGAAGGAATAAAGAAGAAAAAGGAAGAATCTATAGATTAAACGAAGAATACAAAATGAGTGCCTTCTTAGGGATATGAATATTCAACTCATGATGTGTTTGTGCCTATTGTATAAAATCAAGAATCTCCGTTAAGCAAAATAGATTTTTTAAAAATCATCCGTCCATTAATCTAGTAGGTTTTTAAATTAAGAAAACATAATTTTATATACACGACACTAGTGCCTAGTTGTTTTTTTATTTATACAATTTTTGAATTTTTGAAAAATTCAAACAAAAAGTGCACTTTAATATTAACTAAAAATGAAACAATTTTCTCAATTTCTTAGAAAGCAAGACTGACTAATTTGCTGCCCTGAGAAATTTTTAAATTTATTGCAAATCAATGAACTTTAAATTCATTGACAGTAGCATAAAAGTAAAATAAAAAATTCCAGACAAATAAAAAAATTTCAGTGAATTAAAATTCTCTGTCAGTGAATTAAAAATATTGAACGCCAGTAATTTAAAATTCATCGATAACGTTAAATTTTAAATTCAACGTTACATGTAAATTTAAATATCAAAGTTAATGAATCGAAATTCATTAAAAACCAAATGAAGCGAATTTTATAATTAATAATAAACTTTACTTCATTCACTCTACTGAATTATAATTCTCACTACAAAAAGAAAAAAAACGAACGAATTTGAAAAAATATTCATTTTAAGAGATTATAATCTCTTATTAATATTATAATATTACAAAATATTAAGGAATTATATTTTTTACTTCGGTTTGCAAATCTTTTTCCAAAATGAAAATACGAGAAGTATTATTTGTATGAATTCTTTACGTGAATCTCATTTTTTTTAGAAAAATATCTACATTTTCCGTCCATATTTACAAAAATTTGTATTTTTCTTTTTTATTGTAAAATATATATGTATATGAATTAAAAATATTTGTATAAACAAATAAATACTTGTTTTTAATTTAACACAAAAGAAAATCTTTTATCCTCTTCCTTGAAAATTATCTTTGATTTGAATTTAGAATATAAATATATTCATGTATCACGTATGCAATAAAAAACGTGCTACTTAACTTGACATTGCATTAAATGAAAGAAATATGTGGGAACGAATCGCAAGGACATGTCGCTTTCTATGACTTCAATTATATGTAGAATTTTTTTTTTAAGTCCTTTTATATTTACTTTTACGTGAGGATTTTACATACTTATATGATTTTAAAATTTTTCATTAATAAATAAAAAGTACAAATTTCATGAAAAGAGAAATTATTTTTCATTCTTGTGGACTTATTTTGGAATACAAGTTTGAAATTTTTAATTATTGTGCGAAAAATACTTAACGAACAAAAGAAGAAAATTTTTTCCTACGAAACTAATTCTGTGAAGAGGCTCGAGTAAATTTCAACATCGAGGCAAATTTAACATTCACTTTTTTTGTTACTCAAGAAATTAAATTTTTGTTTCTGTAAAAATTGACATATTTCCGACAAAAAAAATATCTCGCAGCAAAAAAATAAATTTCTAACATTAAATGTTAGAATATTAAATTAATTAAAAAACAAATTAAAAAATAAATATTACAATATCTTGTATTTTTTAGAGAATTTTGCTGTCAATAAAAATTTTATTCATAGCAATTATAGCAATTCCTTAAAAAATGCAAACTAAACTAAACTGAAACTACAATGTAATCTAAAATGAAAAAATAAATTAAATATAAAAATCTATAAAAGAAAATATTAAAATTTTTCAAGAGAGTAAATAGTAAATCAATAAATAAAATTAAAAAAATTAATTTAAAACCTTCTGAATAATTTCTAAAAATTAGAACTATAACCCCTAAGCAATTCAATTATTTTCTACAATTTCTAACTAAACTTCATCTTTAAGTCAATTAATTTTAATAATTTTTCTAAAGTTCTTCGAGAATTTAATTATTTAAATTCAAAAATTCAATTTTTTTCAATAAATGGTATGTAACTGTCTATGTTTTTTTTGTTCAGAAGATATAATATTTTTTTAAATTATAATTTAGAGAAATTCTTATAATTAATTTTTTAAAAATATTTTTGAATAATTTTTGAAAGATAATTTAAATTTCCAATTATACGCAATTGGAAAATTTCCAAATAATTGTAATTTGATAAAATCTTTTAAAAATAATTAAATTTTTGAAAAATATAAAAAAAAGAATCAAATTTTTGAAGAATTGCAATTATAAATCTGAACATGATTTTTGCGAAATTTTAATAAGTCTAACAAGTAAATTTTAAAAAAATGTTAATTTGTTTTGGTAGAAAATAATATTTGAATCTTAAAAAATTATGATAAAGCAATTCTAAGAATTAGTTTCTTAAAAATATTGTAATGTAATTTTTCGAAAATAATTTAATTTCTTGAAAGAATTTTTGCATAATTTAAAAAAACAAATTAATTTTTTGAAGAATTTTAATAAAAAATTTTGAACATTGATTTCTTCAAAATGTTGAAAATAGGTAATTGTACAAAATTTTAATGTTATTATTTGTTTTATGTATTATTTGAATTTTCGAAAAAATGTAATTGCAAATATTGAAAATAATTTAATTTTAAAAAAATATAATGGTAATTATTTTTACACTAGGATAAAAATAAAAATAAGTTGCATTTTTATACTAAAAATGTGGTATTTTGTTGCAATATTTAGAAGAAAAATCGAAAATATCGTAATTTTTTAAAGTAAGTCGAAAAAATCGCATTTTTGGAAAATAGTCGAAAAAAGTCATAATAACCGAGGCCTGTTTATTATTTTTAAAAAAACCCAAAAAAGAAATTACTTCCCTCTGTAAAAACGAATGAAAGAAATTCTTTCAAATTACAAATGCGCCTACATTATCAGACATTTATGTTAAATGAGAACCAGAGAAAAACATTATAGTAAACGAAGTGAAAACGAATGATGGAGTGGGAAAAACTGACTGTGTTGTGATTGTGAGAGTGATGCCGACGCAACTGCTTGGTAAGGCGTGGCAACTGACAAGAGAGTGACCAATGTATGAAAAATTACATTAAAAAAATTTAACTACAAAATTTTTCAACATCGCTCGACAATTTTTTCTTAAAAAAAAATGTCGGCCCAAAAATTAGAATATCATCGGGCCTCAAGTAAGTGTTTTAAAAGGGAAAATGTTTAACAACTCAATAAACTTGTTCGACAGAAAAGTTAACCTATGTTTTTGTTTTTAATAATTTTCAACAATAGATGCTGTCGTTTTTGGAGGAGTAATCTCACACATTGCTGGAATTCTTCTCCTAATATCTTTTGCAAGGTAAATTTATTTTATAGTAAAAAAAAAGTTATAAGTTTTCAAAATATTCATCAACTATGATGACCTAATATTTGTGACTTCCACCTACAACTCTTGCTTTATTTTGGAGCATAATTCTATCATTAACTAATGTAAAGCGAATTTAAACCAAAAATTGAATTTGATAATTTAAATTAAAATTCTTCTATCATATTTCTAAGTAAATTATTTTTTTTGTTTAATTTTTGAGAAGTTAATAATTTAGATTTGACTTACTCATGTTGTTTTTAATGGATTAATGGAGTCGTTTAAAAATTTTGCACGAATGTAAAATAAATTTTAACTGGAACTAAGTTTAATTTTACTAAAAATTTACTTAAACAAATGCCATTTATTATTTAATTTATGTATTCAAATAAAGTTCAGGTAACATAACCTATTATTTGTCTTGCAACTGTTGCGATTAGTACATAAACTGAAGTGTATTTTTGTATTATTTACTTGTTTACTATTTTGTTTATTCTACATTGCACTTTACTAATTTATTTTATTTGCTCTATTTTTATTTTTACGTTTATCTTTTGCATTCATTCTTCTAATTAATATTAAAATAGATTTATTCTTTTATTATTTTTTTTAAAATAATCTTTCTGTTACCAAAAAATATCTAAACAAGATAAAATTGATTAGAACTGGATTTTAATTATTTATTTTAATAATAATAAATAATAACAAAAATAAATTTAAATAAAATACATATTTTATAAAATATTTTTTCTGACATCTAAAAATATCTAATCAACATTAAAAATATTAAAATTTAAATTTTAATAGATTTATTTTAAACATTTATTCAATTAGTATATTAATTAATTTAATTAGTCGATTTAAATTAAAAATCAAAATTATAAATCAGAAACAAAATGACAAATGATATTTTAATAAACTTCAATTTTTAGTAAAAATAAACTTAGCATTTTAATAATAGAGTTGACACAAAAATTTAATTTTCTTTTTTCTCATTATTTCCAGACAAAAAACTTTTGCCTGACTACTGTAAATTCTCTAAAATAATTTTCAAGGTTTTAATTTAATTATTTTTGGAATTTTTAACTAAAATTCTATTCCAAATAAATTATTTTTATTAATTTTTAAAAAAAGTTCTTTGAAAATTCAACTATTTAAATAAAAAAAAAGAAAGTTCACCGAAAATATTTTTGAAATCCATTTGTTTTCAACTAAATTTCAAAAAAATTATTTGAAAATTTTTCAAAAAACTAACTTCTTCAGAAATATAAATTAAATTTATTTCAAATTCAAAATTCTAAAATATTAATTTGAAACCTATTGAAATTTAATTATTTATAAAATTTATAAACGCAACTCTTAGAGAATTAAATTATTTTTTCAATTTCCAACTAAAATTCTTTTCTAAAATAATTATTTTCAATAACATTTGAGAAAATTCTTTGAAAATTCAATTATTTCAACAAAAAAACAAATTCTGAAATCAATTTCTACATAATTCAATTTTATTCAATTTCAAAAAATTATTCGACAATTTTTCAATTAGATATTCAAAAATGCAACTTATTTCAAAAAATTTTGAATTTAAAAAACTAACTTCCTCAGAATTATAAATTAAAATTATTTAAAATTCTAAATTCTAAAATTTTGATTTGAAACCTATTATTGAAATTTAATTATTTATAAAAATTATAAACGCAACTCTTATAGAATTAAATTATTTTTTCAATTTCCAACTAAAATTCTTTTCTAAAATAATTATTTTCAATAATTTTTGAGGAAATTCTTTGAAAATTCAATTATTTTAACCAAAAAATAAATTCTGAAATACATTCACAATTTTACTAAATTTAAAAAAATTATTCGACAATTTTTCAATTAAATATTCGAAAATTCAACTTATTTCAAAAAAGTTTGAATACACTAAGTTCCTCAGAATTTTTAATTAAAACTATTATTTAAAATTTTTATTTTCTGAAATTTCAAATTGAAACCTTTTAAAATTCAATTTTTTCTACGAGTTGTAAACGCAACTCTTATAAAATTCAATTATTTTTTGAATTTTTAGGTGAAATAAATTATTCTCTAAATAATTTCTAAGCAATAATTTTACGATAGTTCTTCAAGAATTAAATAATTTCAAATATATTCAATTTAATATTCTGTAAAGTTCAATTATTGTCAAAAATAGAAGAAACTTAAGGTTTTTTATTAAATTTTGTGATAAATTCTAGAAATATAGTATTTTTTTCCCAGTACTTTTGATAAAATTTCCAGACTTTTCCCTGATTTCCCTGACCAGTTTTACATTCCCTGAGTTTTTTCTAAATTTCCTAATTCCCCTGACCTATGTTAACTCTGATTAAAATAATAATAAATAGAAACTGATAAAAGAAACATTTTAATAAAAAAAATTGAAATACGATTGAAGTATGAACCGAATTATTTTGAAATATTAATTAAATAATGCTGAAATTTTATTTCAGCCCCTACTGGATGGAATCCTACGATGAGGCCTTCAGCACTTTCAAAAATATGGGATTATGGGAATACTGCTTTGAGCATTTTCGTTTTCCCAATTATCAATTCGATAAAATCTTCGACGGATGCAATAATATATTTTCCCTAGAGTATTACGTTCTTCGTGAATGGCTCGTGCCTGGCTGGCTCATGGTTGTCCAAGCATTTGTCACATTATCCTTGTTTCTGTCATTAATTGCCCAGGGAATAATTGCGTCAGTCACAATTCGTTATCCTTTGAGATTTGTCCTCCGATACGAATGGTTACTATCTTCGATTGCTTGTCTCTGCAATATAACTTGTAGTACGTATCAAAAAGAACAATTTTTTCGAAATCTTTTCCAATCCATGAAATTCTTGTTATAAAAAACTATTTTTTTTAAAAATGGTATTTTTGAAATTTTTTCCATTTGTGAAAAGAAATCTTTTATTCTTCCCATTTTTCCACTTCTTAGAAAGTATTAATTTAATTTTCCTTTCTTCCAGGTGTTTTGCTATTTTTGTCAGTTGCGGTATTTGGTTCAATGTGCTGGAGACGCGACTGGTTAATGTATCCGAAATTTAATCATCTCTCATGGTCCTATGGTATTGCAGTAATAAGTACATTATTTCATGGAATTGCTGCCTTCTTTTTATATTTGGACGCACGTACCGGATATAAATCACGTAAGGAATCACGTAATTTAGTCATGCAAATGCAACCAAATCCACAGAGTCATCATGGTTTACATCGAAGCAATTACATTTAATTTTAGCATTATAAGAAATAAACAAAAATTCTATTTTTGTTTAGAACAAAAAATGATTAGTTAGAGATTCGATACTCATTTTTATTCGTGAGATCTGTGAAATGTCTGAATTTATAATTATATTTTTCTTCTGCGAAAATAATTTCGCAATTTAGGAACAACTTATTCGTTAAGTATTAATCGCATGTACGATATTTTATATTCCGTCCAACATTTTTTCTAAGCTTATTGCTTCCTACGTTTGATAGATTTTTTCGATTTTTTTTATGCGTATGTATTTTTTTTTACATATTAACTCGAATTATAATATAAAAAAGGAAATATTTTTTATATCCTATTTCATATTGAAGATTGATGAATTTTCATCAAGAAATTCGAAAAATTGAAGCATGGTTTGAAACCATACAATTAACGTGTATATTTTTTTTATGTTATGTATATGAAAACGAAACTTGACTTCAGATAGTTTTAAGTGAACTGCACCGTTTTTTTGACGTTACGTGTTAGTGCCTTATAGAGAGAAATATTTATTTTTAACTTTAAAAGTTGAAACAAAGCAAAGTATTTGTTATAAATAATCTCGATTTGAAAAATTATTCATAAAAAATTCTTCTAGAAAATTCTAGAGCGTAGAATTTTCTTTTTAACAAAAATAAGCTTCACGCAAGCCTTAAAATTAATCAGAGACGTAGAAACTCAAATTCTCTGGGTTTAGAAAATTAAAAAAAAAATTTAATGCACAAGTGCTTTATGTCATCGACATTTTTTTAATCATAATCTTAAATTCACGTGAAAATAAATTTTCATCTATATATGTATTTTTCGAATGATTTGCACAATCTATACTGTCCAAACTTTAAAGACAACATTTAATTCTTTTAAAAAAAAGTATATAAATCAATAAAAATGCATTTAAAAATGTCATTTAAATTGATTATCCGTCCGAAAAGAATTAAATGTTCCTTATCTGGTTTTAATACGTTCAAATGAATCTCAATTTGTAAATATATAGTTTGTTTTTATTTAAAATATACCGATCTAAGCTAAAAGCTTTATGTACTTTGTGAAATTGAAATGTCAAATACAGTGACATGAAAAGAAGAAATAATTTGTATTATTTTTATATACATGTAAATATCCCTACTATTAAAAAAGGAATAAACCAATTTTCATCACAGAGAAGAAGGGGAATTGAAATTAAAGAAATTGTTAAAATTTCATCGAGGAAAAAAATTTACTAAAAATTTAAACAAATTGTTACTAATTTTTAAAAAATACCTAATTTAAAAAATTTCGGAGCAAATTTTTAAATCAAGTTTTTTAAAATTTACCTAATTTAAAAACTTTTGGAGTAAATCAGATTCATATCCTTTTTTTAAATTTAAAAATTATTATTGAAAAAAAATATTTTTTCTCGATATTTTCCGTCTTATTAAATAAATAATTAATATTTATTTCTAGAGTTTATCACCCGTTCGATTCTAAATAAATGAATAATAATCATACCTGGTTTCCTCAGAGTTTTGGCGATATCCAAAATAGCGCTCATAGTTTCAATAGGAGGATTTCCATCAAGAACGATAAGATCCGCTTTCTCAAGCACAGAATAATTCTTTTTCACCAAAGGAACATTAATTTCCGAAAAAGCATCCATTTCGCCGATTCCAAAGCAGCACTCGCCCTTATTATCCAGAATGGCACTGTACCTACAAAAGAATTCTACTGTGAATTTGTTTTCAAAAAATTTTCTTATTTACTACTTTTAAATCTCCCCTTTCAAATAAATTAAATTCAGACAATTAATTAAATTAATGCTCTTCGTTTTTTAAAGTATACGAATTTAAAAAAAAAGAATTCTACCGTAAAATCGTTTTCAAACAATTTTATTATTTCTTTACAATCTCCCCTTTCAAATAAATTAAATTCGAACAATTAATTAAATTAATGCTTTTCGTTTTGCAAACAAATTTTTTTTTACCAGCGAATTCTACTTTAAATTTGATTTCGAAAAATTTTGTTATTTACTTCGTTACAATTTTCCCTGTGAAGCAAATTAAATCCAAACAATTAATTAAATTAATGCTTTTCATTAAAAAAAAAAATTTTTTACAAAAGAATTCTACTTTAAATTTGATTTCGAAAAATTTTGTTATTTACTTCATTAAAATTTTTCCTGTCAAAGAAAAATGAATTAAAAATTAACAAAAATAGAACAAATTAATCTTATTAATTAAATTAATAAAAAAAATATGTAAAGAAAAAATTTTTCTTATTTAGTTTATTAATTAGAATTAAAACATTATAAATTAATTTTTCTTTTAAAAACAGCACCAAATTCTAATTAATAAAAAACAAAAAAATTGAAAATTGTTTAGAGAAAATTTTGATGAAAAGAAATTAATAAAAAATTGAAATTGACAATGATAGAAACTAATTTTACCTCTTGTGCACCGCTGAAGAAGATAAGACTAAAAATATAGAATTAAAAATCTCACCTCGCAGTAGATTTATTAGATAAAATTTGCAAAGAATCACCAGCTTCTTTGAGACTTTTAATAATTGCCTTGCCAGCCTCATCATTTCCAATGACTGATATAAGTTTAGTGTTAAATAAACCAAGATGCACCAAGGCAGAAGCCACATTTCGACCAACCCCACCGCAAGCTTCTCGGCTTTTACCTTTGTGGGTACTTCCATTAAACTGAAACAATAAATTCAAAAGAAAATATTTCAAAATTTTGTACATAAAATTTAGAAAGCATATTTATACTCCTAATTCTGCGTTTTACCACAAAAGAGGATTAACAAAAATTAAAATTCTCCCTCAAAGGTAAAATTTACAAAACATGTCAGATAGAATATAATAAATATACATAATATACACATTTAGCATTTACATGAAAAAATTCTCAATCGTTGAAACCAACGGTTTAAAATTTAGATTAAAATATTAAGCACATCAGCAAATGAAAATTCACATTGTGGCTTTCGTGCTAAACGAAGCTTGGAGATTATAAAATGAGTTCATTTTAAACTGCGGTTTACTAAGAAATATATTTATTTTGCATTTTTTTCCCCTCTGATTTCTGAATCAACAAAATTTCAAGATTAAAGAAATATTTCTTACAATCCTTATAAATTAAAAAAAATAAAATTTATTACAAAAATAATAATCATAATAATAATTACTATAATTACAAATAATAATTATTAACTAATACTTCAAGTGTGAACTAATTTATTGTTACTAATAAAATTTGCTAATAATTGCTAATCATAAAAATTTCAAGATAGAAAAATATTTTTAACTAACGTTATAAAAGAAAAAAAATTCAATTTAAATTTAATAAAATAATGTAAAAATAAATTTAAAAAGTTAAAAATATCAATAAAAAATATATCTATTTATAAAAATAATCTTTTTTTATAAATGGATAAAACTGTTTATTGCATTTTCCTTCCTGAGTAAAAAAGAAAATGCTGTTTGAAAAACACGTTTGACAAATGATAGTTTCCGCTTTCACAAGATACGTGGAAATAAATGAAAGATTCATAAGCAATTAATCGTGTTAGTCATTATTATTAGAGAGCTATATAGATAATTCAATAAAAAATTAAAGAATATACCTAAGAAGTAAATACAAGAAAAAAACAATTCCCTATCAAAAGTTCTGAATTTCAAAGTATTAAAAATTTCATTTATTCTCCATTTAAAAGAAGCATTAAAAAAGAGTTTTCTATTCTATTAAATAAATTCGATACTCAATTCTAAATTTAATCTGTTAAACATCAAAATAATTCCGAAAAAAGACAAAAATTGGAATTAATTTTAAGTTATTTAGAATTGTAGTTGAAATATTTGCTGAATTTTTAAACGAAAGAGAAATAAATAATAATATTAAAAAACAATTTTCTAGTCTGTAAAAGAAATTTCATATACAATTTTAAATTAAACCTGTTAAAAAGGAAAATAATTAAAAAACATAAAAATTTAAATATTTGCTGAACTTTTGATCGAAATAATAAAAAATAATAAGAATCATATAGTAATAATAATAAAATAATAATTCTATTCATGTTTTATTTTATATTGATCCTGATATTTAATGCCGATAAAACATTCAACAAAATAATAATAATAATAATAATAATAATAATAATAATAATAATAATAATAATAATAATTTTAAAAACTGATTAAATATAAAATAAAAATTGGACATTTATATAAAAACAAATAAAACTGCATACATAAAAATCCAAACGCCCTGCATTATTTTTTTTTCATTCTATTATTATAATTAAATCGATAAAACACCAAATTGAGCGACAATAGAAAATTTATATAATTAATGATCTTAAATTAGGTAAACATGAAAAAAAGAGTGAATTACATAACAGATCATTAAATACATAAAATACATAATATCATAAAAAGTAAAAGAAAATAAAAAAAAAAAATAACGCAAAGGGTCTTTTCGTATAGTGATCCCTTTGGAAAGGAGGGTCAAAAGTAATGGAACTCTGTTTTCTTTATGACATTTTTTCAAATAAATCATTTTCTAAAAATAATACACGACTTTCTATATATTTATTGATTCACAAATTTATATATATTTATTTAGTATAAAAATAAAAAACACTTTCTTTAATTATTTTTTATTTAAATTTCTAAATTTGGAAAAATCAAGACCAGCAATCACAGACAAACTAATTTATATACAAACAAACAAACAAAATATATACCAAAGCTGCTAGTTAAAACATTAGACAAGTAAATTTATTAAACAAATAAAAATGTAAATTAAGAAAAGAAAATCAGAAATAGGGTGGCGTCTATTTTTATACCGAAATTTATTTCCTCTTTTTTTTGAGTTATTATTATAATCACAGTTGAGGGAAATTTTGTGAATTAAAGACATTTTCATCTGCATATTATTATGAATGAAAATGTTTTTCAGTGTTTTCAAAAATTATTATTATTATTTTTATTATTATTATTTTTATTTTTATTATTATTATTATTACTATTATTACTATTAATATTATTGCTATTATTACTATTAATATTATTAGTATTATCATTAATAATTATTATAATATTAGTAAATATTTTAATGTTTAATATTAATATTATTGATAGTAATACTAGTTCATTCGGTTTCTTTTACGACCAAAAGGATTTAGAATTAATTAATTATTAATTGAATTAAACTCCAATAATTATACAAATAATTAATTATTAATTGATTCCTCAATTATTAGAATTATTGTCTATTTTAGCAAAATTCCAAAATAACGTTTCGGAGCGGAATATTAATTTGTAGTAATTTCTATATGAAAAATAAGAAAAAACATAGTTTCTATTTTATTGTTAGATGAAAGTTGGGAAAGTTGTGATTTTTTTAAATTCAACTTTTACAGAAGCCGAGGACTTTTGATTTTTTGAAACACATTTTTCTCTAATACTACCAGGAGATAAAAAAATAATCGACTTTATAAAATTTCTTCCAGTTTTCTTAAAGTTATTAAATATTTAATAAAAAATGACGTATTTACAACGAAAAGTGATGTAAAAAATTGAAATTAACTTGAAAAAGGGAGTTTTCTCCAAACCAAACCTTGGGTCAAAACCAAAGATTTGGTTTGGAGAAAACTCCCTTTTTCGAGTTAATTTCAATTTTTTAGAAACTTTCATTGCAAATAAGTTATTTTTTATTGAATTTCTAAAAACTTTGAGAAAAAACGAATAAATCCCATGTAATCAATTTTTTATCTCCTAGAAATATTAGAGAAAAACGTGTTTCAAAAGTCCTCGGCCTCCAAAGAAGTCGAATTTAAAATAATTACAATTTCCTCAATTTTCATTCAATATTAAAATAAAAAATACGTGAACACTTATTTTTTTTATATAGAATTCGAAAAAAACTGTTTCCAACAAAAAATTATTTTTAATGAAAATTTCTCTTGGAATGCTCTTAATGTTAATACTAATTAAAATTATACCATCAATACTAATTAATATTAATACTAATATTATAATATATTAAAAATATGAACATTCCGATGAAAGATAAAAAAAAAGATTTAATTCGGTTCAGTTTAAATAGTTAAAAATAAAAAACAGAAAAAAAACTCAATCTTAATTTTAGTAGTTATTCTCTAAAAAAAAAAGTGGTAAACTTATTTACAGTCTTATTGAGGTAAATTAGAATGCGAATAATCTATTAATAGACCGCTTTTCAATCAACAGAAATTGTCAACGGCAACCAAAATTAAATACTGTTTGCCTTTGAACCCAAGACAAGAATAAAATTGACACCACTTTTTTTCCCCTCTATATGTAGACACACAAGTTTCTTATATCTTTTCTGGAAAATTAAAACTCACAGATACTGCGCAAGCTCATCGACGTTAGTTTTACTGCCTAACATCAGGCGCTAGTGGCCGTGTCGTGTCAGTCCGGTTGCCTACCTCGGGCGATAATAATACATCCCCTTAGGAAATTCGCTTGATCATTCCGATCACATCTTCCATCATATCCGTTGTCTTCCTTTCTTCCTCCTTTCTCTCTCGCTCTCTTTTTCTCTTTCTTTCTCTAAATCTCTCTCTTCTCTCTCTCTCTCTCTCTCTCTCTCTCTCTCTCATAATTAGCCGACAAATTTCCCACTCTCAAAAATCGTGTGACAACTTCAACAAAAACACAAGTCCTCCTAGTTCAATTCAAAACATAGTGTTCATTTTTTGAAAAAAAAAAAGAAAATAGTGTCGATATGCTGCCGCTTCTCAAAAGGATATTATTATCAAATTAGGACTCCAAACAAAGAGTGTGATATTGCAACAAATAAAAAATTACTTTTTCCAATTATGTACAATTATCGTACACAAGACTGACATGAGTAGCGAGGATCATTTCGATCATCGCGACAGGATTCCAGGCAGAAATGATCGACATAACGTGACCAAAATTCTCCCGGTGATCACAATTGATCGCGGTACTATTAAAAATAATAATTTTCAACAAATTTTCATCATTGACGTTTTGAGTGAAGATGACAAGGTGCAAGCCTGGTTGATGCTGCTGCGGCTCGTGTAACTCTCCTCAACGTTCAAGGTTAGTATTATCGAACGTATAAATTTCGAGTCCCTCCGTCCTTTTATACACACACCTCTCACAATATTTCGCCCAATCTTCTCTTCCAAAGAAAAGTGAATCAGTCTGAATCTGAAAAAGAAATTAGTACATTAAAAAAATGTTTTCTAAAGCAAATCTCTCTCTTTCTCTTGACAAAATTATATAGAGGTCCTTTTCTCATTATGCGGAATTTAGAATTTAGAAGCAAAAAACAAAATAAAAAAAGGCAATCAAAAGAAAGAGGAGAACCTCGCGTGTGAGTGAGTTCCAAGCCAAGAAAGTCACTAACGTTTTCGGTTGACAAAGAAAGTTTCGGGGGAAGACTAATTGTCAAATGTCACGAGCGACAAACCGTAACATGTCCTCAGAGTTAAATCGTCGGCAATGGGAAAATGAGGCGCAGGAAACCGACGATAAATTCTTTGGAGAAGGTCGGATAGTGGATTGCATAACGCCACCCCCTCTAACCCCACGGTTTCCTCCCGCTTCTGACCAGACACCCACCCTCGACATATTCCCTTCGCCACCCTTTTTCTTCAACCCCCCTCCTCTCACCCTTCAAGTCCTCTTTTCTAATATATATATATATATATATACACTTTAAAACCCAGCACCACGACCCTCTAGATAAACATTCACATCAGTAGCTAATTAAAAAAAGCTGCCATGCTTTAATGAAATTTCATTTGGAAGAAGAAAAAAAATTTTTTTTCGGAGCACAACGTTTTTCTATTGAATTTCATTACTTAGTCAAGAAAAGAGGAGGAGATTAAATGCAAGAGAGACTCATAAAAAGGGGAATTAAACACAGTTTATGAAATATTAAAAAAAAGAGGAAAAAAAAAGATTTAAAATTAAAAGTTTTCATGAAAGACGCTTTTCATCAAAGAAGAGCAGCAGCTTTCATCGTATAAAAAAAATAAAAACATGTTTCTTTGAGCATATCAGTTTTTTATCCCTGGTTAATAATATTGATTGACAATTTTTTATTGCAAAAAATAAGTTGATGGTTAATAGTGTTAATAACAATAAATACATTAAATAATAACAAATTAATGCGAGGAAAATTGAAAGAGAAACTAAAAAAGGAAATTAAAATTTTTTTCTGCATTTTATAACTAAAATAATTTACACGATTCAAATAATAATCCATTACTTATCGGAAAAATATTTATTTCGATTCAATTTAATAATTTGTACCAACTCAAATATTCATTTGCATTAAAATAAAAAATTTGGACCAATTTTCACTCAAATAAATATTTATTATGCAATATAATAAAAAATTCCCGCTCAAATGTTCAATTTACAGAAAAGTAAATACTTATTTTGCATTAAAATAAACAATTCGCTCTCTGCATTCGAATAAATATTTATTTGGATTAAAATGAATAATTTTCAATACTAAAATAATCAATTTGCGACAACAAAAAAAGAACAATCTGCACTCTAATAAATATTTATTTTGCATTGAAATAAATAATTTGTACTAAAAAATATTGTAACCTAATAAAATAAATTTTATTAAAATAAAAGATTTGCATTCAAAGAAATATTTATTTTTCATTATAATAAAAAATTTGCGCTAAAATGTACGATTTGAAGAAAAAGTAAATATTTACTTTGCATTAAAATAAACAATTCGCTCTCTGCTTTTGAATAAATATTTATTTGCGTTAAAATAAAAAATGTTTATTATAATAAACTATTTGTGAAAAAAAAACAATTTGTGGTTAAATAAATATTCATTTTAAATTAAAATAAAAAAATTTTGCGCTAAAATAAACAATCTGCACTCAAATAAATATGTATTTTGCATTGAAATAAACAATTGGCGTTAAAATAATTATTTGTTTTGGATTAAAACAAACAATTTGTACTCAAATAATTTCTCTTGCATTAAAATAAATAATTAGCATTAAAATAAATATTTATTTGTTCTAAATTAACAAATTTTCACTAAAATAAACACATTGTGACAAAAAAACTTTTTTTGCATTAAAATAAACAATTGGCGTTAAAATAATAATTTTTTTTTATTAAAATAGAAAATTTTCACTGAAAAAAATAGTTTTTTAAAAAATTTTCCACTTAAATAAACATTTGTTTACATTAAAATAAATAATTTGTACTCAAATAATTTCTTTTGCATTAAAATAAACAATTATCATTAAAATAAATATTTATTTGCATTAAATTAACAAATTTCCACTAAAATAAACAATTTGTGACAACAAAAATTTTTTTTACATTAAATTAATAAATTTTCACTAAAATAAATAATTTGTGACATAAAAAATTTTGCATTGAAGTAAATATTTGTTTGACGTTAAAATAAAAAATTTGCTCTAAAATAAACAATCTTCACTCAAATAAAAATTTATTTTGCATTAAAATTATCAAATTGCATAATAAATATTTAATCGTATTAAAATGGAAAGTTTTCACTAAAATAAACAATTTGTGATGAAAAACAATTTGCACTCAAATAAATATTCATTTTGCATTAAAATAAAAAAAAATTCCTCTTAAGTAATTCCTTTGATTCACTTTAAACGTAAATATCTTTCAAATGCAAAAATGTTTGGTTCAAAGACAATGGATTTTCATATCAAAAATATTTCCTGCTCTAAGAAAGTATTTATTTAAAAATTAGTCAAGTAACCGATTTATTTTTCAATCAAATAATTTTTTCCGAGTAATTTCTTTTCGACATTTTTAAGTCTACTTTCAATTCAATTTTTTAGATTCCAATTCAACTCGGTTCACGCTTTTTTGGCACAATTCTCTGGCACTCATTGATAATTTTTTCTCACAGTGATAATCACATTTTTGAAAAAATTCTTCTTATTTAAATTCTTAATTTATTAAATGAAAGAAAGAAAAATAAAAAATAAAATAATATAAAGAAGGGAAATAAAATTGAGAAAAAATTTACGAAATTGGAAAAAGAAAAAAATTTACTTTTCTGTAAAGAAAGTGAAAAAAATGGAAAAATTTAAATAGTATAAAAATAAAAATAATTAGTTAATAAATTAGTCATTAAATACAGAATTTATTATTTGTAAAACATGGCAAATCTTTTAATTATTAAATTAATCGTAACATGAATAAAGTTGAAACCAATTTGGCAAAATATAATCTTTAATTACCTCAATTTCGTGATTTAGCTTTTATTTAAATTTAATTACTTCCATTTTGAGTATAATTTTAATTCGAATTTGTTACTTTCGATCATTTCCAGTATAAAATTTCTAAATTTCGATAAAAAAACTAATTTTTATTCAAAATATGTAATTGAAAATATTGAAAATAATTTAATTTTAAAAAATGATTCTATAGTAATTTTTCCTCCACTTGAACGTTCTGAATTTTAGAATCACATTTTTAGTACAATTTACTACAAATTCTCTTTTCCATTATAATAACTGATGAAAAAAATACATTTTTTCCTTTTTTTTAAACTTTTTTCCCACGGAATAATTTCATAATTCAAATTTATAATACACAGAGATATTATACGTCAGTGTTGATGAAAAAATCAATAGAGTTTTTGTTAGAAAAGTGACGAAGAAAAAGGGAGAACTAGTTTCCGCATAACTATCTCAATGAAAAGTCATTAATGTCACAACTTTTTTTTTTAAATGCAAATGAATAAAATTGACATTTCTATAGATATAATAATAGTAATACATTTGAAAGAAAACTTTTTAGATAATTGAGACTAGAATATTTTTTTCTCCAATCTTTCACTCACCCTAAAATTGGAATTCACAATAAAAAAAAAATGTATAAATGTATATCAATAAATGAAGATATGATATCGAATAAAAGTTTTTCGAAGATTATTTATTCCTTAAATGTAAAATTCATGGAAGAAAAGAATACTTATCTACGAGAAAATATCAGGTTGAAAGGTCTCATATATATATACATAATAGAGTAGTAACCTGTTGTAGAACAAAAGTTTGGCTCATTTTTCCCCCCTCAAAAATAAAAAAAGAAAAAAAAAGAAAAAATAAATTCATATATGTACTATTAAATAATACAATTTGGATACGCCCCAAGACGAATGAAATAACTCTGTAGAAATTAAAGAGAAAATGTGTATATATAGAAAGGGGGAAAAATTCTTTCGGGGATTGTCTTCGTCGCCAAAACTTGCAACTTCTTTATCCGAGCTTCTACACCAGACAAACGATTCCCTTATCTCTTCTTCTTCTTTTTATTCTGTTTTTTTTCTTTCAAGAAAAGCTCTCTCAACCATTTCAGAAAGTTTTAAATTTGAAAAGTTTTAATTTTTAACAAAGAAAAAATTTTTTTTTAAACTCCTGCACGTTATAAAATTATTAAACGAAACGAAATTCATTCATTTTACATTCAAAATATAATAATTTAAACAAATATCAGGGATTACAGTACTTTTTTTTCTTAAAATGTAAATTTTAATACAAAATAAATATTTTCCTTTCTTTAAATTAAACATTCTAAAGCAAATTTTTTATTATAATGCAAAATAAATATTTATTTAAGTGAAAATTTGTTATTTTGGTAATAAAATTTTTTATTTTAATGCAAATAAATATTTATTTGGATGCTAATTGTATATTTTAATGCAAAAAAAAAAATTAATATTAATTAATGAACTAAATTGACATTTCTATTACTAAATTTTTTTTGTCAATAAAAAATAAGAATAAATAAAAAAAAATAAAAATGCACAAATTGAATTGAATTTGAAATTGAGTAAAATTATCATTCGAAATTTATATTGTTTAAAGTTCGGATAATTTGAAATTCAAATCAACTGAATTTGAGTTTAATTAAAAATAAGGTGAATAATAGAATGCAAAAATTTTAACGATTAATATTCAGAACAAATTTACAGTCAACTAAGATTTTAATCGATGAAAGTTTTAACAAATAAAAAATATTTAAAAATACATGAAAAATTTACAAAATAGATGAAATAAGTGAAA